TTCAGTAAACTTTTAAAATTAAACATTGAAAGCCCATTTAATATACTGCATCTTCTTACTTTAGAAAAAAAAAAGAAATTTACGATTGTCTGCTGTCTTTCGTCAGAACAACGAATATACAAATATAACCACCTTTGTTAATTCCTTATGTCTTTCCTTAATGTATGCATACCTATCTGTCCGAGGCCTACCTTTTATCGTTTATAAAAATGCCCTGACGGCAAATATCTCCGTTGTACTTGTTTAAGCAATATATCCTTTATTTGAAGTTTTTCTAATATCGATACGTTAGTGCGATAATCAATCCAGGATATTCTCGGTATATAAATAACTATTACACCTCGTATTTAATTTTTATTATTTTAATACCCTCGTATTTCATGCTTAATGACACATTTTTGTTTTGTTTTTAAAAACAACCCTTAAGATAAATATTCCATAATTTTAAGTTCAAAGACACTAAAAGTGCTAAACGAACGTTTTAACAAAAAAAAACGAACATTTAAAGAGAGAAGGAAATAGAAAGAGAGAGAGAGAGTCTCATTTTACAAAAGTCTGAAATTTTTCAACCGTATAAAACGATCAGCAATTCAAATAGAGAGCAATCGCGTCTTTGGAGCTTTATTTTCACGCTTCCGAAAATTAATTCATGTCGGTGCGGCCCTCCTGCAACTTCAAAAACCGACAAACATTTCGATGCGATTTTAAATTCAAAGTAGTCTAATTGAAATATATTAATTTCGCAGACGATTTTACGTTTTTTGTAGCTTCTTTAATCTTTGGGGATTTCAGGGTACGGCCTTTTGTAAATTAGGGGCTCAACCCTTTGGATTATCATAAGGAAAAGGAATTTTTTGAATGGTTTATGGTTTTCAGAAAGAAATTGTGAACCTTAAATAAAAAACGAAAAAAACAACGAAACTGTTTCTGTGAAAAAACTTGTACTTATTTAAGAAATTTCTCATAACAATTCTACATACATACAGTAGATTGAGTAGATTCGCTGGATATTTGGAATTACAGGAAATAAACCAAATCATGTCAGCTAACCTAACCCTCTTATCTATGCATGATACTATAACAAAATAAAATAAGTCAAGGCGCATGTTCTTGTGGCGTAAGCCTGAGACAAGTTGTCAAAATGCCAAATTGACAAAATTAATGACAGCAAGTTAAACTTTAAAATTAAATTTAAATTTTTCATTTGATGCAATTCTAGTTATATAAATAAAAAGAATTAATATTAATAACAGCAAAGAATTAATATATCAATATTATAACAGCAGAGTAAATGTTTCTATGGATAATAATAAATGTTTCTATAGATAATAATATATACTAATGCCCATTTTAATAGAACTTGAAGTAATACTTTATTTTTGATAGGCCTTTAAAAAAAGTTACTTTGGATGTATGTAGTGAACTGGAACATATTTTTCGTAGTTATAATGGCGACACATTAAAAATTACAAAAAATTATTTAAAAAAACTTAATAGAAGCTGCAAAATATGTAAATGTTAGCGAAGATGTAAAACTACTTTTTTTAGATGTAAAATGTATTTTAAAATACGAATTCTAAATCAAAATATTAAAGATAATTACACGTCTCTTTTAACACCTTTATCAACGTCTGTTTTGCTTTGCAATTTTTAGAAAGCACAGATTAAAGCGGAAATCTGAATTGTATTTCGAAACTATTTTACGGTTTTATTGTCAGATGTCGCTATTGCGTCCGTATTGAAGCCATTTTATTGTTGCTTCTTAAAAGACAAAAAATATTGATCTTTCACGTTGAAAACACCTTTGACTAACTGTTCTGATGAGACCTATTAGGTCGAAATAGGTATCAACAGATACAAAGGCGCTTTATGCGTGAAATCAAATATTTGCTGTCTTTTCACATAATTACAATACTACTACAAAAGAAAAATCATAAAGATTGTAAAATAAATGTCTAACTAATATTCATAAAGTCTCAAGTTTGACCCGCTTTTCCTTTATGGTCAAATTCTTTACATTTTGCCGGCCTTTTATATTTAATTTATGTTTTGTAGCAATATTTATTTTGATTGTAATACACACAATCAAATCGTAAATTCATATATTTCTTTAACTAATTTTACAAATTACTTATTAATTTTCAAAACACGTTTTTACAGAAAGTAACTAGTTACGACTTATTATGACAAGATATGGCATCGAGGTATACTTACGGTTAACAGTTTAAGTTTTGAAGTTGTTCATTACAGTAATGGAACAACGTTGCCATATGTTGCATCGTTAAAATATGATACAAACAAGTCCCCTGGCTTTGTCTCACCATGACGACATGCGCAAAGTCGATCAAAATTAGAACGGCAAGTGACAAGGTTAGTAGATATTTAAGTATCTTAAATATCTACTTAAATATCTACTAACCTTGGGCAAGTGAGCATATCTTGTTTGTTATAGTATCATGTTATCTATGCATGTCAGCCAAACTCACGTCGCATGTCGGTTAATATGAATTAGAAAACGGCTAATATTACAATGTACGTTTTTATAATTCTCTTTTATTTCATTTATTGCATTTTGAAAACTGTTTACACTTCTTCTAATTTACATAACGATGCACGTCATCGGCGTCATTGCCCGTGACGTCACATGATACCAACCCGAAATATTTAGGCGTTAGGTGTGTTCTTTTTTAGAATCATTTTGTCGAGTACACTGAAATTACAGCCACTAGACATATTTTATTATATACGCGTAGAAATAATATTTAAAAATTTATATTAATATTAACATAAAGAAATACACAATAATATGTTTCATTTAATTTGTATAAATGCATTATAAAGCGTTTTTATGAAGAACATTTGTTCAGAACACACTGTAGCTGTAATCGAACGAAGGTGAAATTTTGGTATAAATTGATAACATTTATTTGACAGTTGTGGTGTTGACACTTTTGTAGTTTATTATTTTGAATTTTAAAGTGAATACCTCTTGTTTTATATTTTTACCTATTTAATAAAATCTGTTCTTTTTAGAACAAAATTAGTGTGTTTTATTTCAAAAATGTCACGTAAGAATTTAAATAGTCGTTGTAAAGAGATAGTAATACTTTTGCAATAATTATGTGATCTATTTTATTTCAAATGGAGTCAGGATTTTTTTATACTTTGGCAACTATGTCAACTTCGATCTCTGACGTAGATAATGACGTGCATAGGTATGTAAATTAGATGAAGTATATACATTTATGAACGTGATTTTACAATTTTTGGAAATCAGCATGTTGCTGATTTCCAAAAATATATAATAACATCTAGAGCAAATAAATATTTAAACCGTAACAATCAGAAATAAAATAGTTTTCATTACATTTAAGGAAATGAATTATGAACTAAAAAACTGAATAGAAATCTACCTCAGGGCTCTATCATCTAATTATTTTGTTTACTCAGTGTTAAACATGATCTTCAGAATCAATTAATGCCTTTCTTTTACTACTGACGGATCCCTCGTTGATCAACCTTTCGATAAGTGTCTCAAAAAAACAGGAAAATGCATGGGAACTTTACCTTCATAACAAATCGTTTGTATCTCCTTTAATGAGAAAATTTGGTCTACAGTAGATCTGTCCTCTCTAAAGCCGGCCTGATATTCATGTAGGAGTCTTTCCGTGTAGCAATTTAGTTTATTTCTCAATATTCTTGCCAACATTTTGAATACCGTGTCTAGTAAGGCTATACCTCTATAGTTGTCACACTTCCGTCTGTCTCCTTTTTTATGCAGATGGCATATGTGGGCCTCATACCACACCGATGGCATTATTTCCTTTTCCCATACTTGCACTAGTAGCTGATATATTTTTCTTTGTAGTTGTTCTCCACCAAACTTGATCATTTCTATGCATATGTCATTGTTACCAGGATTTCTGTTATTTTTTATTTCTTGTATTGCTGTCAGCACCCCCTCCTCTGTAGACTGCCTTTCAACTATCGCATCTTCTCCAACCGTTCAGTTGTCTACTGCTTCGTGGTCCACCTCACCAGTTAATAATTCTTCAACATGTTTTTTCCATTCCGTCATTACTTCTGCCGGATCGCTAATTAAATTTTCATCTTTACCTTTCATATAACTACAGTGGCTTTGGTAACCTTTTCCCATCTTTTTAACTTCTTGATAGAACGACCTCACCTCTTTTTTTTTAAACTTCTGTTCTATCTCTTTTAATTTCAACTCATTGTGGTATCTCGTTTTTCTTCTACACGGAGCATTCAATCTTCCTTGAATTATCTGATCTTCTTCTTTTCCTTTGCTCTCGCCTGACACTCTTCGTCAAACCAATCTTTGTTTGTACTTCTCTTGGAGTAGCCCTTAACTATTTTTTCGCTAGCTTCTCCTACGGCAGATTTAATTTGTTCCCAGGCTTGATCTGTCTGTAAATTTTGGTCACATTGTTGTAGAATTTTATTTATTTCTTCTTCATATTTATTTTTTATTTCTACTTCCTTAAGTTTTTCAATGTTGTACTTTTTCTTCGTTTTATGGTTTAATTTCTCTTTTTCTTCCAGCCTTCTCCCACATGTGACTTTAACGATGTAATGGTCCGAGTCGATTTCAGCTCCTCTCATTCTTCTTACCTTCTGAATGATATTCATATATTTACTTTCAATCATAACATGATCTATTTGATTCACCGTCCTTCCATATGGGGAGACCCACGTACCTTTGTATGTATATCTCTTTTCGTTTTAGTTGTGTGCTTCTCACCACCATGTTTTTCTCCATGACAAATCCAATAAGTCTTTGACCATTATCGTTTGTTACTTCGTGTTTACTATAGTTACCAGTTACTGCCGTGTACAGAGGTTCTTTTCCTACTTTAGCATTACAATCACCCATTATTATTTTTACATCACGTTTAGGTAGGTGCTCTCATTCATCATTTAGCTGCTCATAGTAAAGATCCTTTATTTCGTCGTCGTCGGTAAGAGAATGAAACGCTTAATTGGAATATATAATATATTTCATAATGTTAGACAACTAATTGCAAAATTTTCAAATCAAGTGACTATCAGATAAAGAGACAAAAGGCCTATTCATCATTTTGTCATTACATTTTACAGAATACAACCACAGATGACGCATAACTTGACCAGTAGTTATCCTTAAGTGAACATCCGGCTCCAAGATCCTAAGTAATAAGTCTCCCAAATTATGAGAACACCAATCCAAATGCTTGACGTTGCGATTCAATTGATCTTTGACCATTCGCCTCGTATCGGCATCATCAAAAGGCATTTGAGCGAAGAAAAATATGTACAAGACGCACCCTAAAGCCCAAACGTCGCACTTCTTGGGATCGTACTGTTTCTTTTGCAGCATTTCGGGAGGTACGTACGCTACTGATCCGCAAAACGTATCTGAGAGGATAGATTTGCCCGATTTGGTCTGGCAATGTCTGGCAAATCCGAAGTCGCCTAGTTTTGCCGTGTTAACGTTGGATAAAAAAATGTTCTCGCATTTGATGTCTCTGTGCGCGATACCCAAATTGTGTAGGTAGTGTACAGCATCCAAAATCTGAAATAAAATGGATTCATGTTCATTTTTATAATATATCATATACACCAATTGAAAAAAATTGTAATTTAAGAAGGCCAAAGAAGTTCTGAAACTGTTTGCTTTTGCCTATTTAAGTTAAATTAAATGTTTTTATATACGTTTCGATTTTCAATACGAAAATCGTTTTCCAAAAGGTCTATAAAAGAATAATTATCAAAAAGGACCCCGCCAATTTTCTTATGTAAAAGTAATTTCAGTTAAACTGGATGAAACTTTAAAGAGAGGTAGCTTTGGTCATGTTGACCAAAAGTCGTCCAATAAAAATCATCAAATAATCAAACATTTACTAATATCGTGTTCCGCAGTTGAAGTTTTTTGGCCCTATACATCTTCGCCAGTGGCGGCTGGTGACTCAAAAATTTGGTAGTTCTGCAGTATTTTTTGGTTTTTTTTTTTAATTCAATATCTTTTAATCGTTGTATTTTACAACGAGGCTTTTAGTTTGATATTTTACACCATATATTTATTCATTATATATCTATTAAAAAATAATAAAGAACTTCCCGATTTTCTTCTTTTCAAATTGAAGATAAATCCGATTATATCAAAAATAGCAATGGTACATTATGGCACACTAGTAATTGTTTTATAGTTTATGTTTTTAGTAGAATTTTATCGATAAATACGCGAAACTAAGGAATGCAAACGAAAAAACCCTACAAACAAAATGGCCACAACAATAATTGCATTATAGGGTCTTACGAACTAACTACACACAGAGCCAAATATATTATTTTTTTTTATAAATAAGCTCGATTCGTCGATTTTTTTTAAAGCAAACTTGTCTATAACTTTTTCATTAAAGTTTGGTATTTCTTTTATAAGTGTTTTTTTCTACTGACAACATGGTTAATGCTACAAGTCGGTCTTCAGTCATGGAATTTCTCAAGAATGTTTTAATCCGTTTTAAACTCGAAAAGCACCTTTCAGCTTCTGCCGTACTCATGGGCACTGTAATTAGAATTTGAAGCAGTTTAACAGTCTCTTGAAAAGGCTGTGTTAAATTATCTTCAATAAAAAATTTTAAAAAAGGTATTGCCCCATTAATGTCTCTACAGTCTCTTCTAAAATAAATAACAGATAATTCACTCTTCAAGCGCTCCCTATCTAAATTTGGATATGACGCGTAAGTCAGGCTTAAATTATCATCTGGAAAATCTATCATTTGCACAATTTATGATTATATCACAAACTTCGATAGATGCTCTTCGATGATCTACTGGACTGTTATCCTTCCGTAACCTTTTAGTTGGTAATGGTTCAACGCATAAACTAGAATCTTGGTCAATGGTATCATCTATTGAATTTCTAACTGAATTCATGTATCTTTCGAAATCTGTCACCTTTTTATTGATTTCCAAAGGATCCGTTGTAGTCTTTTGAAGGGCATTGTACAAAACGTCTACTCGTGGCATTATGCGATGGAAAAATGTTAACCAAAAAACAAAATTTTGATCCACTAGTATTCTTCGAAGGGAAGACGCTGAACTACAGACAGCTGCCTTATCAAACGATTCTTCTATTTCTTCCATACATTCGATAAAAGAAGATCGATGTTCAAACACAACATTAACAGTTCGAATATTGAAGTTCCAGCGAGTTGGAGCGCCATAAGGAATTTTCTTTTGGACGATTTTATCTAAAACTGCCACTCGTTGTGGCGAATTTTAAAAAAGGTAGGGATTTCACTTAAATTTCCAAAAAAAGTCTAACTTAGCTAACAAGCCTTAGATTTAAATTACCATTTTACCAACAATTTAAAAACCAATTAAATTTAATTGATGCGCGTAACAGTGTACAAAATGAGCAAATGGATATTTTTCTTTGATTCTGGCTTGAACTCCTGCGTGCTGTCCACACATGACCGCTGCCCCATCATAACTCTGAGCAATTAGTTTATTATTTGAGTTTTCCAAGATAGGATCCAAAACATTGAAAATGTTTTTGCTTAAAGTATCTGCATTTAATTTTGAAGGTACCAAATATGTCCAAAATCGTTCTACCGGTGCTCCATTTCGACAATAACTAAATACTACAACCATTTGTGATTTTGCTGAAATGTCTGTAGTCTCGTCGGCCATGACAGCTAGATATGGAGATTCCCGAATTTCCTCCAAAATTTTATCCTGGCATAATTCCAACATGCAGTGCAAAATATCATGTTGAATTTCTTTAGAAATGCCCTTAAAAACCGTCGATTCTTCCAAGTGTTGTGCTACAGCTGTAACTGTTCCCAGTGTTGTTTTGTTACAGCTTCATTGAATTTTTGAATAGTTATCCAGTATGCAGAACCTAACTGTTCTTTAATATTCACGGAGCCTAATAAAGCATATTCCATTTTATTGTGCAAATGATGCTTAGAAGTTTCGTGCTTTTTTATTTTATCACTTAAATGTACTAAGTCTGTTACACCAACTTGCGTCCATGACTTATCACCTCCAAAGAGTACACAAGGAAAACAGAAAAGAGCGTTTTTTCTGTTGCAGCCACATATCCAACTATTTCTCGTATAAATATCGCAATTAAATTGTCGTTTGTGATTTTTCCCTCGGCTTGATCCTTCTTTTTCGATTTTAATATCCGGCAAAGGACGTCTTTGCATTTTAATTCTAGTTTTTCGTCATAAGAATATTTAAAGAATCTCTTAACATTAATCAAATTATAAATAACATCCATTCTGAACAGCACTTTTATTCTCATAGGTATACTTAATATAAATGCCGAATTACGTGCAGGACAACTTATTTTAACAGTCGTCGCGTCGCGATCACCGATTATTTAAAATTACAATAAACGTAGGTTTGTACACACTAGTTCGAAATGCGACAAATGCAGCTCAAATATTGCTTTCAGTCGTCGCCTGAAAAGTGTAGGCGAGGGATTGAGCGGGTGATATCGGGGATATCTTTAACAGTTCACAGCTCGGAGTAGCACCGGTCCGGTCAAATAAGTGGGACTTGCTGTCGCCATGAGATGCGACGGACGACAGATTAAAATAAAGGCGGCCATGCACAAAAACCATCTAAATGAATTTAGATTTTATAAGTAGTGATATTTTTTATTTAATTTTCAAAGTAATTTTGTTTGGATTATTTTGGTGGTTCTGCAGCTCCGCAGCACTTATATACCAACCGCCACTGATCTTCGCTATAACGAAACTCTACTGTGATAGCTCTACCTTTAGCTACTACCAGCACTTATAAATCCTGCGATGTGAACAATAAATATGTTTGTGCTTGTGTGCTTCCAAAAAAAAAATATTTTCAAAAAACTTTAGGCATGCGGTACTGGGCTAGTCTTCCCAAGGTATTTTACGTTTGGATTTCCAAGTCTTGTTATGACTAGTTTCATTATAGACTCACCTGCTTAAACAATACCTTAGTTTTTTGTTCCGTAAAGGGTCCATTCTCTTTAATATATTCCAAAATATCGCCCAACTCACAAAACTCCATAAAAACATAAATTTTACTCGGAGCCTCAACAATTTTATACACTTTTACTATATTACGATGCTTGACCATTCGGATAATGGCCAGTTCCCTGGCAACAAATTTATTGATAAATTCTTCAACTGGGTTGTTCTTGTTTATTATCTTACATGCTGATTTCTGATTAGTGCCTAAAAACAAAACTGCGGTCAGTAGGGAAAGGTGTTGTACCTTGGGTATGCGTGTACCTTGATCCACTTGCTAATACTACTACAAAGAAAGGATTTAACGATTACCGGCAGTAGCTAGCCCACTAGTCATAGAGGGCGATAAAGTGCTATTTGGACATTATGAATGAATATTTGGATGACCAGTGTTGTTTATAATTTTGGTGTAGCTGTGTAAAAATTTAGTTTATTTTAAATCTGCAATCATCCTATCCGATGGTAAGTGATGTGTACTCAATTTTATGCCTAATTATAAATTGTAGTTTACATTTTTATTTGCCATAAATAGTTTTTCTTAAAAGTATATTTTTCACATGTTTTATTTAATAAAAAATCAGGACGTCACCACTTTGTACCTCGGACCTAGTTTAGGGTTTGTACCTTGGACCGGTCCAAGGTACAATGCCGTAATTTTTGAATTATTTATTGTAAAATATAGATAATAAGATATAAGGTTACTCAATGATAATGAAAGAAGCATTAGCTGTATATTGGTCTGTTTCTAAACTCTACCAATATGTGGCTGGTCAGAAATTTGAAATTTCAAGTGACCATAAGCCTCTGCAAGCTATCTTTGGAGAGCATAAAAGCTTACCAAAAATGGCTGCTGGGCGTATTCAACGTTGGTCATTATTTTTAGCTGGTTTTAATTATACTTTTCGCTTTATTAAAGGTGTCCATAACTCTAAAGCTGATGTTCTATGAAGGTTACCTTTACCTGTACGGGAAGATGAAATTGAAACAGATTTAAATTTTGAATATATCAATTTAGTGGAAAACTTACTACCAGTTGATTCAAATTTATTATATTCTGAAACAAGAAAAGATGTAGTTTTAGGTGGTGTGTATAATTTAATTAGATATGGGTTTCCTAAACATATTGAAAATTTGATTCTTAAGCCTTTCTTAGTTAAAAAGAATGAACTCTCAATAGAAAAGGGTATTATTATGTGGGGTTATCGAGCAGTCATTCCCACTAGCCTCAGACAACAATTGCTTGAACTTCATAGTAATCATGAAGGGATAATTAAAATGAAATCAAATGCACGTTCATACTTCTGGTGGCCTAACCTAGATTCTAATATAGAACAAAGAGTAAATGGTTGTAAAGTCTGTGGACATCTAAAACCTGAGCCCACCAAAGCTAAATTAATCAAAACTCAATTATCTACTTATTTTTATGAAACAATTTATGCTGATTTTATGGGACCTATAAATGATAAATGATACTTATAATTATTGATACTTTTTCAAAGTGGCCTGAAGCTTTCATAATGAGTTCTACTGATACAGAAGCTACTATAGATCGTTTTAGAGAATGTTTTTCTCAATTTGGTTTGCCGCGAATTATTGAAACGGACAATGGAAGTCAGTTTACTTCTGAAAATTTTTCTAATTTTTTAACTAATAACGGTGTAAAATTTTTGACTTCACCCCCTTTTCATCCAGCATCGAATGGATTTGCGGAAAATGCGGTAAGATTTGTAAAATCTGGTTTAAAAAAAGCACTTTTAGATAAAAAAAACAGAAATGTTTCATTAAATACATTATTGTGTCGATATCTTTTCTCTTACAGGAATTTAGTTCATGCTACAACAGGGTTGTCTCCCTCAAATATTATTTTTAAGTCAAAGATATGAACACGTTTAGATTTATTAGCACCAAAAGGTGTGCAAGTTAATGAAAAAGCAAATAAGCAAGAACAGAATTATAAAGGGAAAAGAGATGTACATTTTGAAGTAGGGGAGAGAGTCTGGTGTAGAGATTATAGGAACCCAAATAAAAAAGGTTGGGTTGAATGTGAGATTGATGAGATTTTAGGTGATAGAATTTAGTTTTGTAAGTTAATAAATCAAAGCATTGTTTGGAAAAGACATTTGAACCAGATATTAAAGAATATATCTAATCCCTTAGATGTAATAATTGTGCCAAATGAGAATGTGTCTCAACCTTTAGATGTAGTTGTGCCAAATCCAGTTATTATACGAAATGAATCAGAGCAAGAACTACCAATAACTCCTGAGACAGAGCTAGAGGTGATTCCAGAAATAAGTGAGAATGGTTTAAATTCTGATAAAAATATTTCAGAGGTTAAAAATGAAATTTTGTTAAAAACTGTATCTGGTGCAAAAGATAATTTTAAGTTAGTTAATAATAGACCTAAGAGAGAAATTTGTACTGTCATTTGTCAAGTCACAATGTATTGGACGACATAACCTCTATATGGCAATTAATTAGCAATTTTAGTGTAATGCGCCTGTTTTGTAATTTGTAAAACGTTCTTTTGAAATATATGTTTATTTGAGCCATCTACCATTTATTATTACTACATAACATTTATTATCTGATTTTGTGTTGTTTTTATATACGTATAAGTATACTTTTTTAAATAATGACGACCTATTAATCCAAGCGACATAAGTGTGCAGTAGAAAAAGCTCTTAATTGTGAATTGTCCATACGGGAAACTTCTCGCTGTAATAATGTGTCTAAAACACAACACTTATTAGGTACATGACAAAACATAAAAATTTAGAAGGCATGGCGGAGTTTTGTTATGAACCGAGCAATAAAACTCAACAAGTTTTTTCAATTGAAGAAGAAGATAGTTTGAAAGATTATTTAATGACAGCAGCACGCCTTCACTATGGCTTATTGACAAGAATGAAGGTTCGTTGTTTTGCTTACTAATTCGCTCTTGCAAATGATAAAAATAATAAAGCAAAATAAGAAAGCCGATAAAGGATGGCTAAGATATTTCCTAAGGCGTTGCACAGTAGAATTATCACTTCGAAAACCGGAACCTACAAGCCTAGCAAGATCCACCTCGTTTAATAAAGCCAATGTCAGCTCATTTTTTACAAATCACAAGAAAGCTCTTTCTCGAAATAAATTTTCGCCACACAAAATTTGGAACTGTGATGAATCTGGTTTTACAACCGTCCATGTCCCTCCTAAAATAATTGGTCCAAAAGGTCTTGGACAGATGACAAGTGGAAAAAGAGGACAGAATATTACTGTAATTGCGGCAATTACTGCGTTTGGTACTCGTATTCAACCTATGATATACCTAGAGTACATTTTAAATCCCATATGTTGAAAGGAGCTCCTGTAGGCACAGTTGGAGGTGCCAATTCATCTGACTGGTCTAATGAGTCACTTTTTTTGCAGTTCCTGGAGTATTTGAAATGTCATATACAACCCAGTCTATTGAAAACCCAGTTATTTTACTTCTTGGCAATTATGATAGTCACATTAATATACCAGTGATTCAGTTTTGTCAAAACAATGGCATAACATTGATTAGTTTCCATCCTCACACAAGCCACAGTCTTTAGCCTCTCGATAGGACTGTCTTTATGCCATTGAAAACGTATTACAATACAGCTTGTAGTGAATGAATGCTTATATCGACGACGTTACAGAGTTATTAGGAAAAGCATTTCCAAACGCTTTTTGTACATCGTTTTGTACTTCTTAAAGGATTTGAAGTATAGGAACTGTATGCCCTTAATGAAGACATATTCCAAGAACACGAATTTCCCACCTGTTAATGCTCAATCTGAAAGTACCGAGAACTTTGATATTCAATCTAAAACTTTAAATGGTTCATGTGATATTGTAACCTGTTCAAGTGTTACTTTAGCTAATCAGACCGAAAACTGTTGTAGTATTCTAGATAACCGAAACCAAATTCATTTTCCTTCGACATCTGTTGCTATTACTCCAGAAATGCTACGTCCATTTCCTAAAACACCTCCCCGAAAAAAGATCAGTGAAGGAAGACCACGAGGGAAATCCCGCATATTGACAGACACTTCCGAAAAATATGAAATATAACAGTTAAAAAAAGTAAAACCAACTACTCTTAAAAATACTAAAAGGCAAGTTTTTGGAGATTCTACGCAAAAAAGTTTATCAAAAAGAAGAAAAACTTTTACTTCTAACAACACCAAGAATGAATTATCATCAAGTTCAGAATCCGAAAATGAAAACTTATCCCTTAGCAATGAAAGCAGTGACGAAGAAAATTGGAAGGAATATATTCAAAGAGAGGAAGAAGCAACACTGCTGGAGAACAAGTTTGGAAATGCTTATTTAAAAGCTGGCGACTTTGTATTGGTGAAAATTCAGGGGAAAAGAGGTTCCGTTATTATTTAGCTGAAATAATACGTTGAGACGACGAAAACGAACTAAAATATTTACGTCGCTACAAAAACACCAATAAATTCTTCAATGATGTAACTACAAGCTTTAATTTTCTCGAAGAAGATGTAATTGCAAAATTACCCCCTCCAATTTACGTTAGTGGAACAGCTCGTCAAGCTCAAATGTTTAGATTTGGAATAAGTTTTGGACAATATGATGTTGAATGACCACAAATGTGTTTAGTTTTGTTTTTTTTTTCTTTATAAAAATAGTTTTAAGAGTTTCGTTTGAATAAAATTTAGATCTGAAAGAAGCAGCTTATTTATGCTTGTCGAAAATTTTGGTAACTGAATAATTGTTCCAAGGTACAATACTTGGAGGTCCAAGATACAAGACCAAATTTTACCTCGGTCCATTCTGCACCAAATTAAAAATGATTAAATTTATGTCTTAAACATATTTCTTTAAACCTTTTAAATACATTGGTACTTAAGAAATCTTTTGCTAATTTGCTATGTTAAATCCCAACTCAATACGTTAAATAGTAAAATAGTTACAGGTCATTAAAAAAAAGTGTTCCAAGGTACAACACGCTCCCCTAATATTTACAGAGATAGATCCTGCTTTCATCTGTACGCGTTTTTATGTATTTTTTTTATTTCATATTATAATTTTATCACTTCTGCATAAAAAGATTATTTTAGTAGTTTTTCCAATCCTCAAGTGGTCCTCCGATTTTTTCCCTACTGGATTTTTAGTCTCGTCATGTATTGTTCCTATATTAGATAATAGTTTTTTGCGTTTTTTTTTAGTAAATTGTAAATATGGATACAAACCACAGCGAGTAGCTACACAGACTTTGCTGTAGGCTCCTTTTCCGATTACTTGCCCAATATAAAAACCAAAAATACTTGAATTTTTGTAACATCTTTCAGGAATTAATGACTTTTTTAAAGTTTCTATCATGTTTACTGGAGAGCAAATTTTTAATGGGAACTGTTCAATATTATTTTCAAAAACCTTTAACCTATGACATGTCTGTCAGAGCTAGCTGTACTTTTATATTATTTATTACTAAAGTTTGCTTAACTTTAGACTTTAACTAATAATAAATATGCTTTCGAAAATGTGTTCTTGTTTTGTTATGATTTGGTTCATGTCGAGGAAATGATTAATTATAATAAATATTTATTAAAAACGTGTCAACAATAATTATTAAGTAGGTACATATTTTTCTAATTTAAATTTGATTTAAACGTTTATTAAAGATTTATTTATGACAAACTTCTTACAATATCACCATAGATAAATAATATAATATTATAATAGCAATATTACTGTGTGTATCCAAGTTCTGGTAAACTATGCAACATTTGATGAGCATATTTGTATGTTGGGTGGCCTATATAACTGACATATATCAAATTTTTTTCTGTTACTACCGGATTAGATATTTGAATATAAAACAATTTAAAAATAATCTACATTTTACTAATTTTAGTATTCCTATTTTTAGTAGTTTATTCTACTGGCTGTAATTCATAATCTTTTTTACAAAAATTCGAAGTTCTGTCAGTTAAAATAAGTAAAAAAAAAGCAATAGTTGCCTATTAATAAAATACACCAATTGTATAAAGAGTTTTTAGTAATATAAAATAATAAAATTTGATAAATCCTATAATAATTTGTTTTGAAGTAAATTAAATACACTTAATAGACTGTTTGTATGTTTAGTTGCCTATCTAGAAGAATATTATCTTTTATTAATATTTAATTCTACTGCTAAATCATTACTATTTATTTTTATTTAATTTATTATTACTTAATTATTTTGTACATTAAAGCAATACGTATTTTTAGTTTGTTTGATATATTCAAGATTTATTGAAAACTGCTTTAAATAAAATTCTGTAGTAATTTTAGTTTTGCAATAGTTCCCACATTGTCTGTGCGTTACGTCAAAATAAATAAAATTTTTGTCAGAATTCAATTTGAAAAGTATTTGGAATCGTTTCTATATATTTTAAAAACAAATCGCACCGTATGCAGCTGAATATTGTTTAATATAGAAAAGTGATTACTTAAATAAATGGCGCTACAAAACTTTCGCAGCGTTGAAGAGATTCCTCAACATTTTAGAAAAATATTTTCCCAATATGTACATTTTAATTTTGTACAGTCGGAAGTTTTAGACGACATTATATATTCCGGTACGTATTTTGATATTTATTGCATTCTTTCCATTGTTTTTTGTAATATGCTGTATATGTTATAAATAGTATAGAATGTGTCTTTGAATAATACTTTTTTTGTAGATGATTCCATCGTTGTTTCTTCGCCTACAGGTTCGGGAAAAACAACGATTTTTGAGTTAGCAATAGTTAGGTTGTTAATGCAAAATGAAAATGATACTTTAGGATTTAAAATAGTTTACAGTAAGTAATATAATGATCGTTTACTTAAATACAATTATGAATATATTTTATTGATATTTTTTATTAACTTCTTAGTATCTCCCATAAAGTCCCTTTGTCAGGAACGGCTCGTAGATTGGAACAACAAATTTTCTCGGTATGGTATCAATTGTATCTGTGTAACGGGAGATTCTGAAAACGTCGACTTCCGTAACTTAGTTCACCACAACTTGATCATTTCTACGCCAGAAAAATGGGACAGTTTGACCAGAAAATGGAAGGACAACGAGAATATGGTTAGAATAGTGAAATTGTTTATGATAGATGAAGTTCATTTACTGAATGAGGAAGATCGCGGATCAACATTAGAGGTTATTGTAAGTAGAATCATATTAGTGTTTTATATTGCTCTCTAATGTAGGGTAAACCGGGGGAATTCTGCGCACCTAAGGTAAAATACTTACAAAAAGTTTCCTATGTGCAAACAAACTTCCATAATTTAATTACTAAAACTTGTATCCATTGGGAACGTTATTCCCATAAAAAAAGGATTTAAGTTTAACGGATTTTGAAGAAAAAAATTTACTTTAAAAAACTGTCATTGCTCGGTATTCCCCAAGTACGGGGTAATTCTGCTCAGAATTAAATATATCTTTATTCGAAAAAAAAATTATTGTAATAAAACAAATATTCTAAACAAAACAGATTTCTTAAAGACAAAATTTCTGTCTGTCTTTCGTTCGACCTTGACACACATATCGCATGTATAATTAACTGCTGAATCCCAACCACTACATCTGAATAAGCTCAATTCTAACACATTAGACAACGGTACCAAACTTCTTTGTCTCGTCCGAATTCACCGCACATCAAGCATTCCTCATTTTCTAATGTTAGATCTACATCATCTAATTCATCATCATCTTAAAGCTTACTCTCATCATAAATTTCAAACTCAGAATCATCAAAATGTAAGTTTTTAACTCCAGCTTTCTTGCGTAAGGGTTGTTTCTTTGCTTTAGTAGCCAGTTTTCCTAAGGTTACTGTCGTTTTATTCTTGGTTTCATTTTTTTGCCTCTTCAGCTTTTTTCTTAATACCTTTCTTTTTTTGTTTTATTTCTAATTGCGTTTTTAGTGGCGTGGAAGTGAAAATTTCTGAGTGTTGTTTTGCACGTGATTTGGAACTTTTCTTTATACATTTGGAAGGAAGAGGAGCTAGCTTTTCAATGGGTATACTAGACTGACTTTTAATATTTCCTGACGTTCCAGCGTACAGCTTTCTGGTTTGATTTCAATTATAAGATGGAGTCTTGTGCATAGTTTCATCACGATGGTCCGGTTGGAGTTCGATATTTCTCGGTGGAGTTCTCTGCAGAGTTTCGTCACATCTCGACTGATTAAGGGCGCTGTCATCATTGGTAACGTCGTTTTCTAAGTCCATTACAACGTGCATATCTGAAACTTCAGTATGATCTACTAAGCTGAAATCATCTTCAGAGAATTTATTAGGATCTATGGGCCATATTCCAACAGCACGGAACCCGGATATTCCTTTGTCCATCGTGGTAACTCTCAGGTATGCTCTATTAAAAATGGAAGCAAGTTCAAAATGTGTGATCTTTTTATGAGTATGAGCTCTCAGATTCAAGTCGAACTCACGATTGAAGGCATTCTTTAGGACTCCAAAAAAAGTTAGGTCAAGAGGTTGAAGCCTGTCTGAGGTATGATGGGGAAGTGAAACCATAAAAATTCCGTGTGATCTTCAGTAAGCATAAATCTCCAAAAAAATGTGACTCCCATGGTAATCTAATATGAGAAGCACTGGATCTTCTTTCGAGGCCTTTATATGCTAACAAAAATGTTTTACCTAGTCGAAAAATAACTCTTCATTTATCCAATTGTTTTTTGAACATCTGTAGATTGCTTAAATTGGGCCTCCTCTCATTAATTGTGGATTAATACGTATTCGAGGGAATATGAACATAGGAGGGACAAATTGTCCTGAAACATTTACAGCGCGTACTATGGTAACATTTTTCACTCTTTCTCCAAGATATTACGGATCCTACTTGCTTTTGAACTTTTGGTGCCAAAATTTTTGATGGTTTCTGGACCGTAGGAATGCCCGTTTCATCTCCATTAATTAAATTCTTTCTTAAATTCGACCCACAGGAAATTTGAACTTTTCCATAACTGTGTACAGATTGTTAAAAAATCGTTCAACCTCATCTTTATTGAAAGAAGAAATGCGGTTTTGACTGGTACCTTCGGGTTTTCTAACACTAATGTCTGGATGACGCTTTAAAAAGAGTTCTAAATAATCTTCTCCAGCGATCTTCTTTATCGAGTCTAAAACGGTGTTTTATTTTATTCTCTTCAGCAAATTTGTATGCTAAACGCCTTAGTTCTGATCGTGTGACTCCAAAAAACATATTCGCCAACTTTTTAACATGGTTGGCTATGGTGGATTCCTGTTCATCGTTAAAAATTGGTTTCGCGTAAAGTTTTATTTTTTTATGCTATTGGACTTTAGTTTGTCACGTAAAGTGGATTCTGGAATATTGACTGATCGACCTACTTCTTGTATTTTTCGCCCAGATCGTATAGCAGTGATCGCTTTAGTTCATTTTCTGTTCATTTTGATCTTTTAGTTTTTCGAACGTAAGCACGGGGCATTTTGGAATCTAAAATGCAATAAAAACACTATCAACTAAAATTCTTACACGGGTAATACTGCGCAGCACGAAATTACCCCAACACAGCTGCGCGGTATTCCCCCTAAGTGAGTAAACTAACTTAGCTTATCACTGTTCGTTAATGACTAAATAAAATGCATTATTTTTGTACGTGAAATTATCTATACATGTAAAGCAAAATAACCACTGAACAGTTTTAATGAAAGTTAATAACAAAAGCACTTAACGCTCGTTAAAGGTTAGTCGAAAATTACATCAAAGTCTTGAAAAACAAACAATCTGTGAACTTGTCTAAACCAATACTACGAATGCAGTCATATCATATTAAAAACCTGTAGTAGGCTAGCAAATACGAGAACGGCGCACAGTGTTGAATGTTGCCATACTTACGCCGTGTTGTCAAGATACTGATGCGCGATATTCCCCCGTGCGCGGTATTCCCCCGGCTTCCCCTACTAAATGCTGCGAAATGTCTAAAGAATGAACTTTAAGATGTTTAAAAAACACAAAATAAATATTATAACTCTTAAAACTTATTTACATAGTATTTCTGAAGGTAAATATGTCTGATATAATATCCAGATATTTTATCTCCAAAAACGTAGTTCTTGCAGTCGTGGGTGGCATTGGGGGGGCGCATTATGACTAATGGTTTTTAATACTTATTTAAACAGTTTAATTGGTCATTTACTTTATATTTAGGTCACTAGAATGAAGACAGTGCAGAATTCTATATCAATTAATGATATTGAAAACTGTAAAATAAGATTTATCGCCGTTTCTGCAACGATTGGTAACGTTGAGGACATCGCAGAATGGATAGGAAGCACTAAATATTTTCGGTAAGCTATATATTATATAATTAGTTGTAATATTTTCTGTCAATTGTAGTTTTTATACAATCACGTCATACCTTGCAGTTTTAATGAGGTGTGAAAGGGTAAATGGGAGAATAGGTACCGCGAGCGGGGAAAATCTGGAGAGAGATATTAATCAATCTAATGTTTTTACACACCACTTGTGTCGGTGATCCTTGAAAAAATATTTAGATAACAGGCACTAACATATACAAAATTACACTACGGAGTATTGAATATTAGGGGAGAGTGGGGCTCCTTCAATCATAAAAATTTGAACTGTCATATCACTCTAAATACCTCACCAAATAAAGAAAGAAAATATTCATAAAATGCATTGTCCACCCAACTTTCACTATATATATATTCTTTTATTATTAAATCCTATACTTGTAAAAAAAATTAAATCCACTTTTTCAAAAACGTCTGAAGATGTCCCCACTTGGGGGCACCTTCAGTCGAGGAATGGGGCAGATTCAGACACAATTTAAATAATGATAACCTCATATAAATGTTTTAGAAAATATTTTGAAAAATGAAACTGAAAAAGACAATAATGATTTCTGTCGCTTTGTATCCTGCCCAAAATGAGTTGGCAAAAGGGCTACAATTTCTGATAAAGAAGCACTAGAGATATCTGGTACGATGGGGTAGAAAAATTTATCACTTACTTTAGATGACATTCTCAAAAATGAAATTTCAACAACCCCACATCACATCCACCAATGATTCTCACAAAGTAGTACACATCTTTTTATTATCAGAGTTTTTGCCATGTTCATCATCAGTTGTCTTCTCATTCCTCTCATTTTCAAAAAGTAGTTTCCTTTTCGTAGATTTCTTCTTCTTCTTCATGTGCCTTGTCCGTTCCGAACGTTGGCAATCAACATGGCTATTCTGACTTTGTTTACGGCAGATCTGAATAGTTCAGCAGATGACAATCCGAACCATTGTTGCAAGTTTTGGAGCCACGAGTGTCTTCTCCTCCCTGGACCCCTTTTGTTGTCTATTTTCCTTTGAACATCCACTGATTGCATTATGTGGGTACAATGGAGTGAAACTGTTTGAATGTGCCATTAGCTCTTGCTAGTTCTATTGCCTCAATTGACAAGTGGCTCTTATGATTGTCGCAAATTAGAAGCATTCTTCTCTTTTCAAAGGAATCTAAACATTTTATAAAGTGCTGCATCACATGAACGAAATTGGAAGTGATCATCCATACTGACCTGACCTGCCAAATCCAAGGTCTCATTTAGTGCTCCATTTATCATGTGCACACTCGAAAATACTAGAGCAGGAGGTATTGTATTTTCAGCTGCATTTATAAACAAAACTGTAGTATCCAGAGTTTCTCTCTCACCACTTACAGCAGCTGTTACTTGTTTTTTGCCTTTTTGTGGAACCACACGAGAAGGTACTTGGTTAGTTTCAGTTTTTGTTTCATCCATATTCCAAGTCCTTTTGTGTCTCTTGATTAATTTTTCATAATTATTAAAAAAAGTATTCACATTATGTTTGTTAAAGGAAATTGCACGTGCAGTACTGCATCCTTCAGCAGCACGGAGAGATAATCTTGGGTGGCGTTTCATAAAATCGTATAGCCAGTCCTTACCTGTCATTCTTGGAGCTTCCCAGTTTTTAGGACAGTCAATATTGTTCATTTTGGCGATCTCATGTGCTAGTTTTCGAGTTTCTAGATTGTTAAGGCCATAAACGAGAATTCGATTACGAGAAAGCATTCGATAATGTAAAACACGAATTGATGATAAAATACCTACAAGAGTTGGGATTGGATGCAAAGGATATAAGAATCATCGCCAATCTGTATTGGAATCAGACAGCAATAGTACGTCTTTAAAATTCCAACGAAACAGAAGATTTCTCCATTAAAAAAGGAGTAAAGCAAGGTTGTATACTGTCCCCAATGCTGTTCAATTTATACGTAGAAAAAGCCTTCGCAGAAGCAGTGGAAGACTCTAATAAGGGTATTAAAGTTAACGACATATTTATTAATAACATCAGGTATGCCGATGATACAGCCATAGTGGCAGATAACATCGAAGATCTTCAATGCCTTTTAAATGATCTAACTCTTGCAAGTGAAGCTCGGGGTTTGAAAATAAATATCAAGAAGACAAAATCAATGATTATAAGTAGAAATGATTACCCCAACGCAAATATATATGTCTCTGGAGAAGAAATCGAACAAGTCAGGCAATTCAAATACTTGGGATGTTTGCTGAATGAGGGTTGGGACCCCGAGAATGAAATAAAGAGCAGAGCTGAACAAGCCAGAAATGCTTTTTTGAGGCTTCGTAAGTTTCTGACTGATCGCAAATTGGACTTCAAGCTCCGATACAAGATGCTTAAGTCTTACGTGTGGCCTGTTCTCCTGTACGGAATGGAAGCATGGACGTTAAAGGCCAGTTCCATTAACAAACTTGAAGTGTTTGAAATGTGGTGCCTGCGTCGAATGCTCAGAATATCATGGACGGACAGGGTCAGAAATGAGGAAGTACTCAGAAGAGCGGGCTTACAGGATAGGGAACTTTTTAATTATGTAAAAAGTAAGAAGACTGCATACTTGGGGCACATTATACGAAAAGAACGATACACTTTTCAGCAACTGATACTTGAAGGGAAGATAGAGGGTAGGAGAGGTCTCGGACGTAAAAAAATGTCATGGCTGCGCAATATTCGACAATGGACAGGAATCCACAGCTATGAAATGCTTCGCAATGCTGCTAAAAACAGAATTATTTAATCCAGAATATTTAACATCTCACCTGACAAGACGATGTACGGTGGACGCCTACGCAGAAATGCACGGCACCTTAAGAAGAAGAAGAAGGCCATAAAATATTTTTGAACACTTAATTATATATGTTTCAAGGTCATCTTTCTGTTTGTCAGTAAAAACCTTTCTACTGTCATAATTCTAGTTTCTTAATTTCATATCATGTTCGCCATATGGGTTATCCCTGAACTTGTGTTGTTGAGGAAGCACACACTTGTATAACCTTGATCTTGGTTTTATTATCTAGGTCTATACGGAAATGCTCTAGTTCAGCAAAGTTAAATAGTTTTGTACAGTTCCACAAATCATGTGCAAATATTACTTTTAAAGTAAAATTTAAGTTGCTTTTAATTACCTTGTGTACACTGTATTCCCCCACTTTCTCTTGATTGTTACTGCGTTTGTAGCATTTTCTTGTATTTGTTTATAGATTTCCAGATGAGATACGACCCGTACATTTGAATAAAATCATTCTCGGTTTCAACTCACACCAAAATAACCACTTTAAGTTTGATCTTTCATTAAACTATCGATTGCAATCACTACTGATACAATATTCCGAAGGAAAACCGGCTCTAGTAAGTCACTACACTCATAAACCGACAGTATTTTACTATAAGTCATTATTTCGTTAGATTTTCTGTAGTACGAGAAAAAGCGTGGAGATGACAGCCAAACATTTACTACAGACTCTCAATATCAAGTTGGATTTCAGTCAGATAGAGAAGTTACAACAACTTTCCCAGACGATTTCTGATTTAAAGATCAAAGAAATGATAAAAAACGGTATTGGAGTCCATCATGCAGGCAAGTACCTTTTGTATTACATATATTAGTTTAAGTTTAATGTTTCACATAACATGTTAGTTTATTATTATAAACAATTAATAATTTAGTACCAATAAGTGTGTTTTTACTGATATTGGAAGTCTACTTGGGTTTCTACAGAAGATGTGCTGAAAGGAACAGTTGGTGGGTTTGGAATAGGTGAAGGAAATGAGAAAAGAGAAAGAAAAATAGCCTTTCTCCTCTCTCATTTCGTTCACCTAGTCCAAAACCACCAACTGTTCCTTTCAGCAGACCTTCTGTTGTTGTTTTGCCTATTTTTGCGTTCCGGTCACCCAATATTATGACTGTTCTTTTTTGGGTATATTAGCAATGTTACTGTTTAATAACTGGTGCATCTCTTCTACTTCTTCATCTGTTCCATTGCATGTTGGCATATACACTTATAGTACATGGATCTTTGTTGTCTGTTCATCGAGAGTAATTTTAATTATGCGGTCATTTATTGGAAGGTATTCATATACACATTTTGCCGTCTTAACTACCGAACATATATTCATTCAGTGGCGTATATGAGAGGTTAAAACCCCTGCAACGAAAATTGAACATAAATGTCATTTTCTGTAACTAAAGTCAAATACTATTTAGGAATGGATCCACGCACCAGACACATAGTCGAAGAAATCTTCCGCGGAGGCGATTTGCCTATCATGATCGCCACCAGCACTTTAGCCATGGGCGTCAACCTTCCCGCACACTTGGTAATCATTAAGTCGACCAAATGTTATACCAATAGAGGTTTCCAAGACTATAGCGCCACTGCCATTCACCAGATGATCGGAAGGGCTGGAAGACCTCAGTTTGACACCAGCGCCACAGCTTTAATTTTAACAACGAATGATGACAAGGTATGTCATTAAGATTCTGCTCTTTTCTCTCATTTTGTTTAATATTGTTTATTCTTATTATTGCTTTAATCACACAAATGACTTCGCTTCCCAGGATAAGATCGAAAAAATGTTGAGCTCTACCGAACCGATAGAATCGAACCTACACAGACATCTCACTGAGCATCTAAACGCAGAGGTAGTCTTGGGCACTATCACAGGCTTGGACGTGGCGTTGCAATGGCTGGCTTCCACCTTTCTTTATATAAGGGCGCGGGCGAATCCGCGACACTACGGATTGTCGCTCAACTACACGAAAGATCAATTGGACCGAAAATTATTAGGTAAGATATACTTTGTTGTTATTTTTACAAATATATTTTAAAAAACGCACATGTTATTACAGTACATTCAACCAACTTACACCTCTAAACCATTAATCAAATTTGCAGAAACCCTTTCATTGTAGTAAAAGGCACAGTAAACTGCACTGGTGTTCTCCATAACGTTTAACATTTTGCTAAATTTTTGGTATAAAATAAATATATGTTTCATTAACCCGTTGTTCATAGTTTTGCATATTTTGTCACTTTTTTTTTTAATAAATAGTATTCTTGCATATTCGGACCATTTCTTGGTTATATCGAAGATAAAACAAAGAATAGCAATGGTAAGAAAAGAGAAAGGCACCAAATAAAAAAAATGGAACACATCATCATCATTCAGCCCATACTCGTCCACTGCTGAACATAGGCCTCCCGTAGTTCACCACACATTTCTGTCCCACCACACCACAAATTTCTGTCCTGAGCCGCCTGCATCCAATTTTGATGTGTCCGTTTCAGGTCATCCGTCCATCTTGTTGGTGGTCGTCCTCTATTCCTAAAGGCATCTTGTCTGGGTCTCCACTCAAGAATGCGTTTTGTCCATCTGCCGTCCTTCGTTCTCGCGACGTGCCCTGCCCAGTTCCATTTTAAGGTTGATATTCTTTTGATTGCGTCGGTTACTCCCGATCTACGGCGCAATTCTGTGTTGGGTATTCGGTCTCTCAGGGTTAATCCCAACATGGACCGTTCCATTGCCCTCTGTGTTGTTCGAATTTTGTTTGCGGACGTCTTAGTAAGTGTTAGCGTCTCCGCATCATAGGTTAGAACCGGCAGCACACATTGATCGAAGACTTTTCTCTTCAAGCAGATGGGAAGAGCTGATTGGAAAACATCTCTTAGCTTTCCATAAGCTGCCCATGTCAACCCTATTCTACGTATTAGTTCATTGGTCTGGTTATCTCTACTTAAGCGAATTTCGTGTCCCAGATATTTGTATGCTGATGTTTGTTCTATACTTGTTCCAGCTATGTTGATGTTCTCACTCAGAACAAGGTTTGTCATCACTTGTGTTTTTGAGTTATTGATCTTTAAACCTACTTGTGTAGAGGCATGGTAGAGTCTTTCGCACATTTCGATGGCATGATCTATGCGGTCTGTTATCAGGACTATATCGTTCGCGAACCTGAGATGACTAAGCTGCTCTCCATTTATGTTTATGCCCTTTTCGTCTAGGTTTGCACGCTTACACATGTATTCCAATAATGTTGTAAACAGTTTTGGTGAAATGGTGTCACCCTGGCGAACTCCACGATGAATGTTGAACTTGTGTGTATCTTCATGGAGTCTGACGCATGCCGCGGCATTATCATAGATATTTTTGATAACAGTGGTGTAGCGGTGATCTATTCGGCACTCTTTTAAAGCTTCTAGCATTTTCTGGTGGTTTACTGTGTCGAATGCTTTCTCATAATCCACAAATATTAGGACGAGGGGTTTATTGTACTCTATACATTTTTCGATGAGGCTTTTAATAACTTGTAGATGGTCGTTTGTGCCGAAACCTGACCTGAATCCTGCCTGTTCGCATGATTGGTAAAAGTCCATTTTGTTCGAAAGTCTGTTTGTTATGACTTTTGTAAAAAGCTTGTATATGTGTGAAATGAGGCTTATTGGTCTATAGTTTACGAGATTTGTTAAATCTCCTTTCTTAAACATTAGAATGATCACTGCATTTTGCCAATGTGATGGTGTTGTTCCTCTTTCAAGGCATTCTGTGAAAAGTATGGAAAGCATTTGTATCAGTTTCTCGCCTCCTAATTTTATGGCTTCGGCAACGACCCCGTCGTCGCCAGGTGACTTATTATTTTTCATTTGTAGGAGAGCTTTTTTGATTTCATCAACAGTAACATCTGGTATGTCTTCCGGAACACATATATGTTTAAAAATACTAAAAAAAAGAATGAGTACCAACAGAAAATAAAAGTAATATTAAAAGAAAGAGAAGAACAAAACAACATTGACGAAGAATGAAATGTCATCCAAACGACAATTACAAATATGGCAAAGGAAACATTGGGTGAAACCTCAAGCAAAAGAAACGACGAATTGTTTGACCAAGATTACCAACAAGTAATAAATAGCAAAAATATAACTAGACAGAAATGTCTACAAAGGGATTTCCGATCGAATAAAAGGGCATATGAAGAACTCAGAAAAAAAGTAAAGAAAATAAGTAGAAGAAAAAAGAGAAAAATGTTGAATAGAAAAATACAACAAATTACAGATTATAATACCAGAAGAAAGACTAGAAAATGTTACAAGGGGGTTCCATCCATATGACGCAGGCCTTTGATATTGAAAATGGAGTTAGACAAGGTGGTACCTTATCAACAACACTTTTTAATCTAACTTAGCTGCATTAATACAAGATCTAGACATCAAGACTATTATTAAGTCTTTATTAATTCTAATTTATTGTTTTTATTATTTATCAAAGGTTCTATATTTATAACACTTACAACTTAATTTAAAGTTTATTTATAATAATGTCTCTTACAATAATAATTTATTATTACGATCGTTACATTGAAACGCGGCGCGCTTTTTTTCTCTGACTGATTCCCCACAATGAAAATCCCGTTATTTATATGAAATCATGTGTTAAAATGGAACATCGTCGAAGATTCGATGGCCTTCTCGGCTAAACAGAGTGGCGCATGGTCTCAAACTGGTATTTTTACATGGACTTTTGTCCAGAAAGTTTGATTGTTGTTTTTTTTATAGCGGTCGGGACAGTTGATGTTACCTGAAGTTTTTATTGACTGCTTCTGGAGAGTTCCAATCGGTAGTATATGACCTAGAAAATACATGAATGGATAAGAATATTAGTAATAAATATGTTTACGGTTTTGGGTTAGAATTTATCGTAACACTATCAAGACAAATTTTATAGGCACTTATTATGATTGTTTAAAGAAACAAAGCAAAATCAGACGCCCTCTTGTCCTCTTGTCCTCTTCAAGGACTTTTTATCAGCTATACTTCATATAACGTTTAGAACATTTAAAAACCTTTATAAGATTTCGACGTGAAATCGATGATTTTTTCACAGATAACGTGGGTTATGTCACTTTAATTATGATATTGTATTGTTTTTATTTTCTTTACTGGTCTAACAGTAGTTTAGCGGATTGATGAGACTGAGTGTGGGGGTAATGCAACGAATTAATTATTGCCGATTAATTAAAGGATATTGCTTATCTAATATGGAGATTAATATGTAAGAACGTAATGGACAATCACCTTGTACTTTCCAGAAATGTTCCAAATAGATTTAAACAAACTGGTACGTGCAGGGATGATTATTATGGACGAAAACATCAACGTGGCTCCAACAATGACGGGCAGTTTAATGGCGAGATATTATGTCGATTTCGAAACTATGAAGATGTTCACTCAGGTAAGTTCTTTCTTCTTTTTGTAGTGCCGTCTCCACTAATGAAGTTTAGCTATAACCATTGCAAATTCGTATTTATCTTCTGCTTTTCTTAAGAGTGTCTGTGTGTTTAACCTGATCCAGTGGCGAATGATTTTCAGCCAGGATATTTGTCGTCTACCAGGACCCCTTCTTCCTTGTATTTTACCCTTCATAATCAGCTGCAACAACTCGTACTTATCATTTCCAAGTATGTGCCCCAAATGTGCTGCCTTTCCGCTGGTGGTCAAAAGTTCTCTGTCTTCTCCCATTCTGTGCAACACCATTTCGTTCGTAATATGATCGGTCCATGGTATCTTCAAAATTCTCCTAAAAAGCCACCTCTCAAAAGCTTTCAGTTTTCTCATTAAGTCAACATTGACAGTCCAAGCTTCGACACCATAAAGAAGAATAGAGTGGATATCACATTTTACCATCCGATATCGGATTTGCAGATTGAGTCTTTGAGTTACTCAGAAATTTCCTCATCTTCAAAAAGGCTACTCTTGATTGCTCTATTTTTTCACGAATTTCTGATTTCGGATTCAGATCTTCCGTAATCCAGACTCCTGTGTTTTATTTTGTCCACTTGCTCAATATCTTCATTTTTTATCTGGATCCGTGTAATGACTTTGCCCCTCTTACTAATAACCATGGTTTTCGTTTTCTTTATGTTTATTGTTAAACCAAACTGTTCCATAGTATCACAAATTGTGTTTATTAACGTCTGCAGGTCTGTCTTGTTACCTATTATATTGTCGGACTTTTCCTATCTTTGCATTTAAATCACCCATTATTATAGCAATTTCTTCCTTTCTTGTATATTGTAGAAGTTGTTTGAGTTGTTCATAAAATGTTCTATTTTAACTCCTGATTTATCTGCAGCTAGGCCATACACCTATACTACATTAATGTTTGCTGGCTTACCCTGTATTTGCAACAGTAGCATTCTATCCGAAAAGGGAACAAAATTTACAACGGCTGCTTGGATTCTCCTGGAGATAATTATCTCAAATCCATATATATGATCTCGGATGTTATTTCCGGAGTAGTATATCGTTTTATCCATGGACGTATAAATACAGATGGACTCAGTTATTTACATAAAATTGTGAAGTCAAAATTATTTGAATAGGTCACATTCTGAGCACCTTCAACTGTTGTCACGTTTTGTTTTAAAATTTCTTATTCGCGAGTCGCTGAAAATATCACTCCGTATTTTATACTCTACAGGTGATATCAAACCAAAATAATAATTTATTGGTTATATTAATATATTTAATTGTAATCAAAATATCAAGTGTGCACATAGCACACATTATCATTTAATAATAGCGTATAATAGATATCAATCAATTATTTTATATGTAGAAGCACTGAAAACTATTTATAAATGGCAACGGTTGTTTACATTTCTCTGTCTTATGGATCTACGTCAAACTTCAAATGCTGTTCCATGTTTGTTTACTTTTTACAGCAAATAAGGAAAAAGTTATTTTTCGATATTTTGGCTATATTTTGAGTGATATTTGGGAAAAGTGAAATAAAATAAACGAAATATTTACATCCCGATCTCTCCTTTCATTTGTAAGTACATAAAATTTACATTATTTAAGATGAGAAAATCTATAGGAAATTAGACGTAGACATCAGTAACACTCAGATGGGATTCAGAAAAGAGCTGGGTACAAGGGAGGCTCTGTTTGCAATGAACGTTCTCTCACAGAGATGCTTAGACATGAACCAAGAAATTTACGCCTGCTTTATTGATTTCGAAAAGGCCTTTGACAAAATACAACATGAACCACTAAGATAAGTTCTAATAAAGAAAAATATAGACAGCCGAGATATTCGAATTATATGCAATCTATATTACAATCAAACAGCAAATGTCAAGGTTGAGGGCAGACTAACAGAAGAAATTCAAATCCGTCGAGGAGTCCGGCAGGGATGTATCTTATCGCCACTTTTATTTAATCTATATAGTGAAGCTATCTGTGAACAAGCACTCGAGGAAGAAGATCTTGGTCTGATAATAAATGGTGAGACGATCAACAATATAAGGTATGCTGACGATACAGTTCTCCTAACGGGAACGCTAGTAGAACTACAACATCTCGTTCAAAGTCTCAATATATACTGTAACAGTTACGGCTTGAAAATTAATTAAAAAAAAACTAAATTTATGGTAATCACGAAATCAAAGAACATCAGAGCTAATCTTGTAATAGACAATACAACGATTGAACGTGTGCCCTGTTATAAATATCTAGGTGCTTGGATCACAGACGATACTGATCAAACAAAAGAGATTAGATGTAGAATAGACATCGCTAGATCAGTCTTTAATAGAATGCGCAAACTCTTTTGCAATCGTGATATCAATATAAAGTTACGAATACGAATGCTGCGGTGTTATGTCTTTTCTACCCTGTTATATGGAGTTGAGGCTTGGACACTAAAACAGTTGACCACAAAAAACATCGAAGCTTTCGAGATGTGGTGCTATAGGCGCATTCTCAGAATATCATGGATGGACCGCGTCACTAACACGCAAGTACTCCAAACTTTAGACAAAAGATGCGAAATTCTAAATGAGATAAAAACTAGAAAGATGGAATACTTGGGGCATATTGTGAGAGGTGAAAAGTACGAACTTTTAAGAAACATCATGCAGGGCAAAATTAAGGGTAAAAGAAGTGTGGGAAGGAGAAAAATATCGTGGCTTCGTAATCTACGTGAATGGTTCGGGTGTAGTTCGATTGAACTTTTCAGGCGCGCTGCTAACAAAGTCGCAGTGGCCATGATGATTTCCAATCTCCGCTAGGAGTGGCACGAGAAGAAGAAGAAGAAGATGAGGAAATGAGGAAACGTGTTTGTTTACATTTTAATAGGCGTACCATTGGGTTTATTCATGTTCATTAATATATTGAATAAGATATGAGTTCATGAAATTAGTAGACATTTATAAATTGTAAGTAGACAGCATCTGATTAAAAAAGATCTGTTTAGTACCTTTTTAATTTAATATTTCTCATGGATACAAATAAATTAGTGAAATGAATAAAACTCATTTATTTTTCTATGTACATAGGTTTCTAAATAATATTGACGATCGAACTATTTGGGTAGCAAATTAAGGAGAAAACATAAAGATTTTTTATTGTAGCATTATTTTGATACTATTAAAAAATTAACTGGAATTCAACTATATTTAATTGTATTAATTTTAAAGCAAATAAAATTGTATTTTAATTTTTCTATAAAGAAGTGATTTGTTAATAGTTAAACTCTCGTTTTTTTTTTATTCTTTGAACGTGTTTTTATACATTATTACTACTTCCAATTTTTAAAATCTGAATAATTACCCGCGAGTAAAAATTCAAGCACGCTTATGTTCATTGCGGAAGCATCACATTCTATCGAAGCTTCAAAACATTGTGTGTTAATAGTATATTACATAACGAGAGTTGTAAGAAACTTATTACATGCGAGTAAAAAAGTTGCGCGCAAGCCGCGTAGCGGCGAGCGCAGTAAATTTACAAGCATGTAATAAGCTTACAGCTCAAGTTGTGTACTATACTTTTTCTACCATTATTTTCGTTTATAAAAATAAAAATTAAATTACCACTATATTTACACTGACAGATTAATAATTTTTAATCTGTCCAAATAACGTCTGTTTATTCGTTTCCATGGTAACTCGACCAACTGACTTACGAGGCTTATGTAATATTACACATTTTTATAAAACTGAAGCGTAATTTTTTTATTACGTGCTAGTCATTACGTGTCAGTATCTGTTATGATGCATTTACTTAGCATCCAAATAGTAGGTAATATACAATTTACTAGTAAGAGAGTAGAAAAAGGTATCTTATTGCTGTGTCCATCTATGTTTATACGTCCATGGTTTTATCCATGACCAATGTTTTACAGAACCATGCCAGTGCATTTCGCTTATGCCTAATATTTCTAGATTCAGTCTGTTCATTTCCTGAATCGTGTTGTGCGTCTTTCCTTGTTCGAACAAACTCCTAAAGTTCTATTTTCCGAAATTTAAAAGAATTTGTTGTCTATATAGTTAATTTCCACATTCAGGTGGCTCCTCCTCGTGGAGATTCTTAGCACCCCTCGACCATTAAAGGTCCGCCGCGGACTATAAAAACAAATTTTAATTTTTTCTATTCGAAAGTATCCTCTACCCATGATAATTAAAACTACTTTCAGTTATTTTATAGTAGATGTAAATAAAATCAAAATAAATGACGGTTGCGTTTCGATTTAATTTGAGTCTCTTACCACTCCCTGACACGTGTTTCTGGGTCTACCCATCATCAAAAGGAGTTTGTAAGAAGACTCAAACCAAATCAAAACGCACCGACTACTAAGGCAATTATAGTAAACATAATTGCCAGAGTATGCTACTAGAGGCCTCTAGTGAGGAAACATGAAGTTAAATATCAATAGCAATTAAAGCAAACTGTATAACCCAAGCTTAATCAAGCATCATTAATATTCTCAGCATCGCTCTGAATGGCTTGATTAAGCTTGGGTTATACAGTTTACTTTAATTGCTATCGATATTTAACTTCATGTTTCCTCACTAGAGGCCTCTAGTAGCATACTCTGGCAATTATGTTTACTATAATTGCCTTAGTAGTCGGTGCGTTTTGATTTGGTTTGAGTCTTCTTACAAACTCCTTCTGATGACGGGTAGACCCAGAAACACGTGTCAGGGAGTGGTAAGAGACTCAAATTAAATCGAAACGCAACCGTCATTTATTTTGTTATTGTCCTTACTCGACGCAATGAGTACAAAAATGATAGTGTTTATATGGGTAAATTGTTGATGCATAGTGGAATTTTAATATTCTCAGCATCGCTCTGAATGGCTTGATTAAGCTTGGGTTATACAGTTTACTTTAATTGCTATCGATATTTAACTTCAAGTAAATAAAATCATCCACACTCTTTCTAATGACACTAATTTCGTTAAAATCGGTTGATCCAAACCAAAGTTATAGGTATTTATCCACAAATACTTTCCCACTCTCCCCCACCCAATTTTAAAAAATAAAAAAAGTACTTAAACAACTTTGTGCGGAATTCAGGCCTCTTTCTAGTTTACTTATTTTACACTTGGTATAATTGGGCATATTTCCCAGAAAAACTGGTTTTCAAAGTTTTCTTCACTGGTTACACCCCCTAGCGGTTAACCCAGAAACTTGAAAGTTATTTCCACCGATTTCTCTTGGCTACTTTTACTAAGGAATTTTTTCTCCTAAAGTTATAACATGAATAGTTTCTGATATATAGCCGAGAGATCGGCTTATTGGACCACCCGCTACATTACCTTATATTTTATCGAATTTAATCGAACAAATTTTAGATATCGGGTAACGAAGCTTTTATACAAATCCTGACTATGATATCTAAATGCGAAGAGTTCGCCGATATGCGGTTAAGAGTAAACGACAAGAAAACTTTGAACTTGTTAAATAAAAATGCCAAAAAGCAGACCATCCGGTTTCCTTTGAACGGAAAAATCAAAACTTGGGACATGAAAGTCAACTGGTAAGTTAATGCTGGAAAAATATTTTTAATTTTTCTTATTTTTATTAAGAGCCGATTGTTCGAACGCTAATCAAAACTTGATTGTAATCAAATATTTAATTACAATCAAATACGTCACAGCAGCTATCAAAATTATTAAAAATTGTTTATTATTATTATTGATTTGTAAATAAAAACATGAAATTAACATCAGAAAGAGTTTAATTCATACCTCAACATAACCTCAAAATGTGACGTATTTGATGTTAATTAAATATTTGATTACAATTAAGTTTTGATTAGCGTTCGAACAATCGGTCCTTAATAATTTACGAAATAGAAAAACCAAAAATTACTTAATTATCGGTATATTTCAAGTTTAAAATGGTTTTGAAGTAGGTAAGTAGTCGCTCTTCTTCTTTGGATCGTGAGATTGTATCGATTCTTGTACTACTTATATGATTCTTACTTACTGTATAAAATTCTGCTATCAAAATAAACTCTAGATAGTTTAATGTTTTATAGACAGTTCCAGGTCACTCGTAACTTGGATCGTGACATATTTTACTTCTCTTCAATTATATTTTTTTCTCCTCCCCTTCAACTATTCTTAAATTATATTATGTTTTTTGTTGAATAAATTAATTTAAATAAAATGCTGTTTACATTTCTTCTTAAGGTTCATTCTTCATTACGGAAGGCTTGCTAAAACTACAGCAAAATGCTCTCTATCTTGAACTGTTCTTAGTATCGAATGTGTGTGCCTATTCAGTTTCTTACATTCTTCAGCCAGAAGCATTTCCTTCCTCCTAGACCTCTTTTTCCTTCTACTTTCCCTTCCATTATGAGTCGTAGAAAGTTATATTTTTCTCCTCTTTAAATATGTCCTAGAAAACTTCTTTTTCTTTTATTTACAATATTTAATAGTTCTCTCTCAATTCTCATTTTTCTCAGCACCTCGTTATTGGTGACGTGCTCTGTCCACGAAATCTTCAGCATCCTTCAAAAAGTACTCATTTCAAAGGCTTCTATACGTCTCATACTTGTAATTCCGAGAGTCCATGTTTCCACTTCGTATAGCAATAAGGAATAAATAAATGTTTTTACAAATTAATATCGGATATCTAACGATAAGATAGAGTTTATTAGGAATGCATTCATTAATGTTTACACTTACATTGAGCTATTACATTTAAATTACTTAACTTTGGTTTATACTGTATTTTTATTAATCTAATTTATTGTCTTTATTTATTATCAAAGGTTCTACATTTATTACACTTACAAGTTTATTAAAGTCTTTATTACAATATTCACTAATTTAGTTCATAACATTTATTTATATTTATTTCCGGCTTACAATTTAAACTCGATGTTCAAAACTAGAACTAACTGTTTTCAACAAAAGTCCCTCTTTATATATGTAATATCGTTAATCGAGATTCCCTTCGAATTTGGACGGCGACCCTCTGGAAAAGGATGGAAGGCAGACAGGTTTTTCAGCTGAGCGGCGAACTTACTAGAATAGAAAAGAATTAGAAATAATATGTTTACAGTTTTATGAGTCATATTTAGCGTAACAATACTTATTTATTCTTGGTTTGTTTTTGATTATGTAACTATAGGATAGGTGGGTTTAAATTAATTGTCTTTAAAAAACCTAGTTTAAATTGACAGTCCTTGACTTTTCAGTATTTATATTTTAATAACTAGGTACTTGATTTTACTGTCATAGAGTACGTGGGTTAAAAATTTTTTTTTGTTAAGGTTTAAGACCCCTTAATGTTGTACCCTTCTTTGCACCCGCAGGGTATTTGGGTTTTAATAACTTCTCATTGGATTAATATATCGTTTAAAATAATTATTGAGAAAATTGTTTAGTTACATGAGGAACAGATCATATTAATCGTGAAGGTGCAAAAAATTTTATATCCCCCTCCCCCCCCCCCCCGACAAAAATTTCTGAATCCGCCACTGACATAAAACGTGACATTTGACATGAGACGTTTTATTATATGTGAAACGTAACATTTTACGTAAAGTTCAAGGAGAAACGTGACATTTTGACATTTTATGTGACAACACGTCATTATTTCTAAAAATTTTTTACAGGTCTACTTTTGTTCTTCTAGTCTTGTAGATTCATGTACTATATAATTCCTTTAGAACAATCTCCAATAGCAGGTTAAAAATAATATTGTAGATGGTCTAGCGTAAAACGTGATTACAAACTTTGCAGTTGACGTGAAGTTTGGATGTTTTATCGAACATGTGATCAATTTTTTCTTTTTCCAGAACTTTTGTTGTTCTCTGTTTCTTGATCAAAGAGTTCCTTTATTTTAGCATCAACACATTATCGTAGTAACTATATTTAGAGTAGGGCTGATTTGTTTTTCTTTCTGGTCAGTGGCTTCTCAAAATATTCAGCTCATCTGCCTGTCTTTCACTGCTTGTTTACTTTTGTAGTAGCATGTGTTTTGTAGACTTTACATCTTTTTGTTTTTAAACTTTTAATATAAATTTTAAAATTCATTATATTATAATATTTAAACATAGAGAATTACTCAGTTTTTTAATAAAACTTTCAGCAAACTATGGCGGGCTGGCATGTCTGTAATTGCGATATTTTTTTTATTTTAGCATCATTCAAGCGGTGTTGGGAAACTTAGAAATCACAGACGTGAATATTCAAACAGAATCGTATCAGATTCTACGAAGTGCACAGCGTATTATAAAGTGTAAGTACATACTTGAAAAAACGTTAAATATTTGTTTTTTCTTATACTAATGAAACAAACAAAATAAACCAAAACAAATAAAATCAACAAAATAAACAAAACAAACTTTTTGGAAAAGTATTTAGTGATTACATAAACGTTTTATTTTTTATTGGAATAGACCGGGGGAATCACGACACGACACTGATAATTTGAATTTTCCGATTTATTTATATTAGTTAGGTTTTTGATGAAAATACCTATACTATATGGAATTTGCCGCATCCATTAGGTATGTAATATTGGTAAAACAATGTCATTTACGTATTTAAAAACAATATTTCCCTAACTTTAGCAGAGTGTCCGTATTTCCCGGATCACCGGGGTAATTCTGACAGACGTTTGGGGTAATGCCGACATTACAAAATAATAAGAAAATAATGAGACAACTGATGGTATCGCTATATACGAAAACATTAAATACTTATGTTAAAACTTTAATTGATCTGACGACGGCTCTGTCGTCTTTGGAACGGCGCAAGCATAGCTTGGCGACAGCTTGTCGCTATGGGAAGATAAGAAATTCCCGTTACGGCATATTTTGGAAGGTACCAGGCTACCTAACCAACCCTCATCCGGCATTCATTCTGTTTCAATTCATCGAAGTAACAACATGTAATATATTATTATAATATTAATATATTCGTTATATTTTTAGTTGCATTATTACAAACAATTAAGTTTTTTTTTACTATATTAAAACATTCACATAGAAGTATTAAATAGTTTCATGTACGGTCTTGTGTTCTTTACTAAAACCACGGGAAGTCCAAATAATATTTAGCTGGAAGTAACTGGAAGAACTCAGAATTCCCGTTTTCCACTGAACAGTTACAACAACTTAAACAAATACTAGATAAGCAAATACATAAGTAGATATATTAAAAATCAAAAGTTGTTTCTACAACAAAGACTTTGTTCATAGAACAAAAGTCACACTGATAGTTTTCAGGGCAATCATACCCACTGCACTCATCGTGAGCCCATTGTCCACAAAACACACATATGTACCATAGTTCAGTTTTTACGCCAAACTCACCACAAACCAAACACATTTCAGTGTTTTCGGAAGATAATTCACAACTGTCATCAAATTCGTTGTCATCACATATTTTTGATTCATCTATATCTTCTTCGGAAGACGATTCTTCAAAATTAATTTGTCTTCGACACCTTCTTCCTTTATTTGTAGCCTTGCGTTTTAATACGCCCAATTTTATTTGGGATTTATTTTCAAGCTTTAATTGTTTACTTTTCACTTTTTAGATTCGGGTTGACCTTTGGACCCTGTATAACTTTTTCTAGGCTACACTTGGCTTTTAAGTCTCTAATTTCTTTTTTTTTTCTTTGTGTCTTACAAAACCGTTTTCATAGGGGTGAAGGCGCCATGATTACTGAGTGTTCTTTTGTAGAATTTTTTGGATTTGGTTTATCATCATTAAATGATTTTGGAAGAGGTGATACTGATTCGAAAATATCTTAAAAATGAGACAAATTTTCAGAGGATTTTGGACAAGAATTTGGTACAACATTCGTTTTCGAACTACCAGACGGATTTTCATAAATCCTGCTTAAATCTAAGCTGGGTGTTGTCTTGGTTCCAAGTTTCTGTACCGTATCTTTTGGATTATGTTTTAAGCTCTCCAGTGATATTATGATTGTGTTCATGAAAAGTTACACCAAGTGTTGGTTAATAAAGATATTCAGTCTATGTCAAATCTTCTGAAATTGGTTTTCCCTTAAGAACCTGTCACACTGTATGTTTAATCCTTTCTTCAGGGGGCCATAAAATGACAAATCCAAAGGCTGTAGTTTATGTGATGTGTGAGGTGGTATTGAGACAATAAGTATATGATTAGATCTACAATAGTTATAACTATCAACAGAGATGTGACTTCCGTGATTGTCCATGATCAATAAGACGGGGTTTTCCTTTGTTGGTTTTATGTTGTCTTTGAAATGTGTGCGCTACTTCATAAAGAGGTTTTCATTTGTCCAGCCATTATGGGAGCATTTGTAAATGGCTCCAGCTGGTCCACCTTTCTCTTACTGAGGTGACATTCTCTGCGTAAGATATATAAACATGGACGGTATGTATGCACCTGAAGCACTCAAAGTAGACGCTTGTAAGCTGAAACTGACCATACAAGCGAAGCAGTAACATCTCCAGAAAATTCCAACCCCTAGTGTTGGCGAAACGTCGAGAACTAATCTCGGAAGACAACGGCCTAACAGCCCGAATAAACAGTTTAAATACGTTAGATGATGGCCGTGAAAGCCTTACGCATTTTATTTTGAAAGTTGTTGTACAGTTTGTAATGTTATCATTACTTTTCAGGTTTAATAGATTATATATTGATGCGGAAGGATAATTGCTACATGGCTCTGCTCAATGCCATAATATTCGGAAAATGCCTGACAGCCAAATTGTGGGAAAATTCTCCGTTTATCAGTAAGCAGCTTACCGGAATCGGTAGTACTTTTGCTACCCAACTAGCGAACGCCGGGAAAGATACTTTTGGAAAGATTCTGGAATCTAGCGCACGTGATTTGGAGCTGGTGAGATCATTTTTAGCTTTTTTTCCTTATTTTTTCCCTTTAGCCCTTTGTTAAATCGGGGGTTTCTCTTTTTTCGGCCTTTTTTTGCTTTTTTTTTATTTCCTTTTAAATTACTCTTTTTTGTTTTCCTCCTTTTCATTTTTTCTTATTTTTTATATCTTTCATTGGCTTTTTTTCATTTGTTGTCTGTTTCCTTCTTAGCTTTCTCATTTTTGTTCCTCATGTTTCGAATTTTTTAGTTTATTTTTAGTTCTTTTTTACTCCACTGTTATTTTACTTTATGATTTTTTTGTCAACCGATTTTTCTTCTTGTTGTTGTGCTTAAATTTACTGATCTTATTTTCTTTTTATGTCTGTTCTTTGTCCAATGGAATTTTATTGTTTAAATTTCAGATTATAAAAAGGAAGCCACCTTTTGGTAACTATCTCATCGAAGAAGTGAAACATTTGCCTATTTTTATGATGAGCCTGGAACCAAACGATTACGGTTTACAATTGACTATAGATTTAATAAACGTCGACGATCTTCGCCAAAAATCGACAATGAACACTTCGTCCGTGTTCAATTTGCTAGTGGGCAATAACTTGAATCAAATCCTGGTCCACAAAAAGTATCAGTAAGTACATAACTTTATAAATATGCGTTACTTTCAGTAACGAAGTGGAGAGTAAAAAACTGTTTTTATAACATTAATATATGAAAAGCTTTTGTGCAACGCCACTGTTCGTTTTTACCGCAATTTACAACAGACATTCCGGTGTTTCTCACAACGCACCACGCGACGATCGGAAATGTATCGGCAATTTGATATCTTCGTGGATTCCAATGACGTTCATTGGTGGATTCAAACGAATCAGCGTCACTTTACAGAAACGGAATTACCATCCAAATAACCCTAAAACTTTTCGCGTATAGTAGCTTCGACGAAAAATGGTTTTTAAAATATTATTTTTCTGAATCTATTTTCTTGTGGCATCTTAATACAATATAACTACTATTTGTACTAAATATATCCAAACTCGTAAAAGATAACACGACCGAGACTAGAGAAAAAAATCGCAATTTTCAAAGTTACTGCAACTCTATAGATCAGGGGTGTCCAACTTGCAATGCCTCAAGGGCCAAAACTAAAACCTTTGATGTTGTCGCGGGCCATATAAATAATTTTGTTATAATTAATAACAAAATAAAGTGAGGTATAAAAATAATTAAAACAAAAAACAGTATTATTTTTTTTATTGCTCAACAACTATATTTTTTTATAAACGAAAAATTTATTGATAACACTTTTCAATAATCAAGACAAACATTGCAAAAGCAACAAAAAAGATGTATCCAATTAGTGTGAGGACTGTGGTCGATTGGCTTCATCCACCAATAAAGAAATGTCCACCTCCAGTTCAGTTGTAGACAGTCTCATAAGATGACGTAAGGAAGAATCGGTAAAGTTGCTTCTGTTTTTATTTTTTATGAATTTCATGGAGGAAAGGGCACTTTCACATGTATATGTGCTTCCGAACATTGGTGTCATTTTCAGTCCAAAATCTCGCAGGTTTGGGAATTTCTCCTTTGACAGTAATTTAAAAAATTTAGGTCCCTTTTCTTGTCTGGTGATTAGGAACATGTCTGCTTGAAGATAACATAACTCAAGCTGTAAGTTGGGTGGTTGATCATCAATGGTTGCTCCAAGAGGAATCAAGACAAAGAATTAATCAAGTTCACTGTTCACTAGCAACGTAATAGATTAGCCGACTAGCCTACGTGTCAGTAGCACACTAGCACGATGGCGGCTGGCGACGGATAGTAAGCAGTGGGAGGTATGGCCTGCGTGAACTGTGATGCGCAGTAATCAGTGCAGTTCTTATAGTGGTAGAGGACGATTGTGTTCCTTACACGTCCGCGAAGCGGCACGCGGTACAGTACTTGTCATGTAAAAACACTGCTAAATCATAAATTATCAAATAAATTAAAAAATCTTTTTCCACAGTGGCAGCATTTAAAGAAAATATATGCTTTTCGAAAATCTTACGTGGGTCACAACAAATAGCCTCGCGGGCCGGATGCGGCCCGTGGGCCGCCAGTTGGACAACCCTGCTATAGATTATAACATTAATCAGATCATTATGCATTGGCGTAGCTAGGAGGAGACCAGGTAGGAATTATGGGATTTCGTAACTATAAAAAGACATTCGAAAAATTAAAAAATATGGTGCATCTATGCATCACATTGAAAGTTTCCATAAATTGCATAACTATAAAAAGAAAATAAAAAGGGAAATGTTTTATCTCGTCTTTCACAAGCGTATACCACCCAGATAGAGAAAAATAGGAATTACTTGAGAATTTGGCAGATAAAAGCTTAACAATGGCTCTTCAAGGCATGGCTTTCAGAGGTCATGACAAAAGCGAAAGTTCATAAAGGAAATTTTAATATGTGGACCAACAGCAAAGTATAACAAGGACTGTGACATTCTACATAATTTGCATAAAAAACTATACCAGTCCTCAAATACAAAATGAAATTATTGTCCTCTTGTCACGGGCGTCTTTAAGAAATATACTTGACGACATTAGACAATCCGGAACTTTTTCAAGCACGTGTGATAAAGCTCGTTCTTTCAAAAAGGAACAATTGTCTTTATGTGTTCGCTATGCATCGAAAGATCTAGAATTTCGTGAAAGATTCCTTGCATTTCTTGATTGTTCAGAAGACCAATCGGCCACTAATTTATTCACTTTAATCTACAAAAAATTGGAAGAGCTTAATCTTAGCGACTTGCAGATGGTAGGACAATCCTATGATAGAGCTTCGGTGATTTCAGGCAATACAAGTGGTCTTAAAACACAAATGTGGGAGAAATTTCCAGCTGCAATTTACACGCACTGCTTACATCATAGGCGCGTACAGACTAGCACAAGCATGCGGTGAGAAGCCACGCATATACGTACGTAATCAAACCATTCGCGCTCAGAGCATTCGTTGAAATTAGAAATCACCGCATATGTTTGCGTGCTCAAGGCGATCCATCCATTCGTGAAAAAAAAGTCTGAGGAGCTGCTTATGGTTAGTGCCGCGTTTGTGGTTATTAGTTCATTACAAAAGAAAAAACAAAGGAAAAATAGGCGATGGTGGACGACGCATTTATTTAAAAGAAGAACCCTACAAATGAAGTCCCGATTTACTGGTAGATTTGGCGTTAGAACCTAATACTGGACAAATTCAAAATTTTACACGTATGTCAGTAGAAGACTTTGAACGCCTTTTAAATGATATAGGCTCCGTAATAAAGAAAAACGACGCCTTAATGATATACCACATTTGTATATTTATACACTAATTTTTATTTTCAACCGGCATCACAAAAACTTTGGTAGCCCATTTTTGTTTGCAGCATTCAAAGTTTGCCGAAAAAGTAGCACAGATTCGTTAAAACCGCAATGCTTTATCTTCCATAACAACCGAAATAACCAATAAAAGTGTCCGAATTGGGACACTCTGCACTTACTTTAAAAACATAATACCTTTTCCTGTACCCACGGACTTCTTGCATTTGCTCCTTTGAAGACCCAAGTAAGCTGCTTGGGTCTTTTAGGGCCCAAAGCCGTTTTGTTCTTCACAACTGCTGAATCTATATCAAGATTTTTTGAAACCGACTCCCATGCATCTTCTTTTTTTGTTTTTGAATAATAAAACTTATTTTTGGGATCCTATAATATAGGGCTTTCTTCATACAAATATATTAATTGCAAACATTGTTAATTTGACCACTCCATTTTACACATAAATCAATAAAATGAATAAAACTCAATAAATCCGAACTTGTCTTGCAAATGCAACAAATCCCCACGCTATCCGTCTAATAGCGGCTTCCCACGGTCGGCGATATTGCGGACGTAAGCGGACCAGCCCGCACCACGCACCGTGGGAAAGGTCTCGTCCGTGGTAGCACAGACACGGCCGCTCTGGTGCGTCCTATGCATCTAGAGTCGGTAACATCAAAGGTGCGGCATATGCTCGTGCTCGCGATCCTAGCGCGTCTGTGTTTTAACAGACAACTGCAAGTCAGAAGTTTTTCATTCGTTGACACGAGTAGTTGTCTGTAGTGTTGTCAAAGTTGTTTTGCAGTTTTTTGCTAAAAAATGGAATGGACAAACGAAGCTATTTTTGATTTTTTAAATTTGATCAAAATGAAACAAATTTATGGAATTCTACGACACCAGAGCATAAGAAACGGAACCGATATATACGATGTATGAAACCGAATAAAAAATCAATTGAAGAATAGTACTATTTCGATTAAAGAATTAAAAAAGAAGAGAAATAATTTAATGCCGACATACAAAGGCAAAAAAAAACAAAAGTTGGAGAATCGATGGGAAGTGGAAGTGGGGCTGATGATGTTTACAAGCCTGAGTGGCCTTTTTATGATATAATCAAACAATACTGTCACGGACCTACACAGACTGTCATGGACCGTAGGAAGAGCTCTGTCTGCGGTGCGTTGTCGTCCGTACTGATCGGCTGTCCGCGATGATCTGTAGAATCGCTGATCGTGGGAAGCCACTATTAAATGAGCGCGAACGCACACGTATGTTTCTTTGATATATGCGAAAAAACCGACACCACTCTGGCTCGCAGCATGTGCGCTCAAGTCATTAGTGAGAAGCAACGCATGCAGCGAGAGGTTACGAAAGCGCCGTCCACATTTGCACACGTATGTGTATTCGTGGCTGCTCACCGCATGCGTTTGTAGGTCTGTACGCGCCTAGATATAACTTGGCTCTGGTAAATTTTTGTAAAAATGTTCTTTCAATATCGACATTTTTTGTACTTTAGAGGCAATTTACGAAAATTTTTCAGATCCCTAAAACCATCAAAAATACAAACAAATATTGAGAGACGTCAATATTGTCCCCATGGAGTTGAAATACTCCCAGATTTGCTAGCTGGATTTGCTATATAAAAATAACCCTATATAAAAATATTTCAAGTATTAGGATTTTCTTTAATTTTAGGCTTTCTAATATAATAAATGATATACGAATAGTCAAAACCCTTAGCGTACTAGAACCTGGAGTGGAGTTTATTCAAGCTCACTTTATAAACGAGGATTGGGGTAAGTAATGTTAACAGTAAATGAAAAAACTATTTTTTACTACTTAAACTTTGATTCTAATTTTCTTTGTCTTTTCTTTGCTACTACAACTTGATAGTTCTTTTTATTTATCTCCAGGGCTTGTCTCTAAATTGCTTTAAATTTATATTGTTCTGAAGCTATTTTCTTGTGGCATTTTAAATTAATTACTATTTAACTGGGAATAAGCCACAATTAAAGATAAAAATACGTTTATTGACGTTTCAATTTCCACGTCGGAAATCGTTCTCAAAATACAAACAGTAAATTAAACAAATTTTGTTTTTTTTACATAGTGAAAAATTCTTCTAATAATTTAATTTTATCTGACTCATTTATATTGACAATTCAGACATACATTGTGCATTTTAAAGTAGACGACTTTAAAATGATATTGCGAATATTGTTGAGTTGCGCTCCTGGGACGACTTTACTTATAAGATAGTTCATTCGATTACATGAAATCAACTTTAACTTGAGAATATCCGTCAGAAAAAATCATAGCATATAATTCGTCTTTAAAAAGACAAACACATGACATGATGACAGTAAAATTCTCCTGTTAGTGATTCCATAGTAAATTATGAGGGAAAACCAGGAAAAAAACCTCATAATACTATCCCGACATGGTAAGTATTTGTTCGTGCATTTAGTTTACCTTCAATAAACACCAAAATTCTGATTTTATATGTTTCGTTATTTAAAAAACATAAATGATGTATCCTCTATATGTTACTGACTTACTAATACTGGTATTCTCTTATTAATAACTTCCTCTTTCAGTATTGATAACCAGATCCTACTACATTCTGCCGAGGAATTTTGCTAAATAAGACCAATTGTGTAGCAAATTCCTCGGCAGAATGTAGTAGGATCTGGTTACCAATATTAAAAGAGGAAGTTATTAATAAGAAAATACCAGTATTAGTAAGTCAGTAACATATAGAGGATACATCATTTATGTTTTTTATATAACGAAACATATAAAATCAGAATTTTGGTGTTTATTGAAGGTGAACTAAATGCACGAACAAATACTTACCATGTCGGGATAGTATTATGAGGTTTTTTTCCTGGTTTTTTCGTCATAATTTACTATGGAATCACTAACAGGAGAATTTTACTGTCATCATGTCATGTGTTTGTCTTTTTAAAGACGAATTATATGCTATGATTTATTCTGACGGTTGATTTCATGAAATCGAATGAACTATCTTATAAGTAAAGTCGTCCCATCTTTACTCAACAATATTGTAAATATCATTTTAAAGTCGTCTACTTTAAAATGTACAATGTATGTCTGAATTGTCAATATAAATGAGTCAGATAAAATTAAATTATTAGAAGAATTTTTCACTATGTAACAAAAAACAAAATTTGTTCAATTTACTGTTTGTATTTTGAGAACTATTTCCGAAGTGGAAATTGAATCGCCAAATAAACGTATTTTTATCTTTAATTGTGGCTTATTCCCAGTTAAATAGTAATTTGCTTTAACTTTGGCAATTGAATTTTGAATTGCAAATAGAATTTCATTAAAAAAGTAAAAGTTCATACCTAATTATTTTTACCCTTTGCATGTCCCGCCACTGGTCTACCTATCCACCTATTCAATTTTAAAACAGGTATAGAATTTTGTACACCATTGGATTACTACTTTTTCTTTTGAATGCTTACTTCTGGTACTACGATTTTTAGTTTTCTACCGGTATTTAATCTAATCCAGCTGCCTTATTGTCTTTAGAGTTTTTGATAGCATATTTGATTTCATCTATTGTGATCTTCTGTCTCTCTAAAGGATTTAATTCTTGTATTTTCTGCAGTTTTCTGCAGTTGTTAGTTTACTATTTCTTTAAATCGTACATTATCATCGTCTAATGTTGTTTTGTTATTCGTTCTAAACTCTTCCAAACTCTCTAGTGGGCGTAGATTGCAGCTGCGAAGTAGTTGTGTCTAATGTAAATGGAAATGAACTAGAACTCGAACCGACACCCTCAAAACCCCATCAGCTCTCCTATAAACAAACGTTTTTAGATGTCTACATGAAAAGTAAAAAGGTAAGTACCATTTTAGCTTTCTTTACCTTTATCTTTCTTTTCTTTTCTCTTGTTCTCACTTTATGTTATTTTAATTCGCAGATTTTCTTTCTCTTTCTTTATCTAACTCACTTTCTGTTTTTCTTTCCCATTATTTCCTCTTTATTTATTGATTAATGTAAGATGTTATTAATATTTTTATTTTTATTTTAATTCCTAGCCTATCAAAGAAAAAGTTTCTAAGAAAATAGAACAAATCAATTCCAAGACGTTGATTCCTCAAAACATCGTTATAACTACCGAAATTCCTACCGAAGAAGTTCACGAATCATCAACACAAGAAAATAAGTTTGTGAATGTAGTCCAAGACGATGAAGCGATATACGACAATTCGACCGATAGAAACGAGGAAATAAGTCAAGTGTCCAAATCCAAACCAGAGCTTACCATATTCGATTTGTATGACTTACCAGAGGAAAATATGACAAAAAAATCAGTTCAGTCTATTAACGAAGAAGAAACTGCACAGAATTTGTATGAAGGGATTGAAAAAACCGATCAAAACTTGCCCGATTCTAGTGATAATTTGCAAAACAATCAAGAGAGTCTGCGGGAAATTTTTAAATCGGAAGAGTTTTTATTTTCCGATGCGGAATTGCGGGAGTACGAGGAATTTTTTGGTGGCAGTAAAACGACAAAAAAGATGATGGATTCGGAAAGGAGTGGGAGTGTAACCGAAAGGGAAAGTGACGTGGAAACAGGTAAGGTATTGTTTTTTATTTAATTAGTTGTCATTTATCTTTAAATGGTTATTTGGTCGAAATTCTTTTCACAATCAGCTTAGATTTGGTGAAATCGTTGATATCTTATGTTAAACCAGTATTTTACTGACTAATTAACAACACAAGGAGAGTAAATAAAGAAAAACTATCACAGTTTCGAAAAAATATATAAAAAGAAGAAATAATAATGGTAATTATTAGATAATAATATTATGGAACAAAATTAAATTCATTATCTGACTCAGGGGCTACGTCGTCAGCTTGCTCACTGGTAGGCCACTGGAAAATTTTCTCGTAAAATGGTTTATATTCTTCTAAAGTGCTGTTTTGAGCTTGCTTGATATTTGCATTTTTGGGGAGTTAATGACTATAGCATTATTTGGATAAGCTAATGATGTTGGTAGCAACACGGGACGTTTGGTTTTGGAAAGACGAAACTTATGACTAATGAAACCGTTAATAAAATCGTAAGTCACAACTGTACCTTTTGCATGCTTATCGCATTCAAACGACATAAACGACGATGTAATGTAACATAGCAAGGAAATAAAAGAAAAAAAATACGGGGTTGTTAGCCTTGAAAAGAGTAATAATTATTTAAATAAATAATATATTCTAAATTAAATAAACTTTGAGGGTATACAAGGCAACTATCGAACACGGTGATTAATTTAATCTTGCCCAAGTACTTTCAATCAATAGATCATCTTCAGGGGCATTTCGTCAATTGTGGCCTATCCGACATAGTAGAATGTCATAAATGTAAAATTTGGACATAACAATACAAAATACAATACACTAAGACAAACAAACACTTTAAAATTTATATGGAGAAGCTACATATTGTATAGAAGCCGGAGACAGAATGAATATACAATATGTAGCTTCTCCATATAAATTTTAAAGTGTTTGTTTGTCTTAGTGTATTGTATTTTGTATTGTTATGTCCAAATTTTACATTTATGACATTCTACTATGTCGGATAGGCCACAATTGACGAAATGCCCCTGAAGATGATCTATTGATTGAAAGTACTTGGGCAAGATTAAATTAATCACCGTGTTCGATAGTTGCCTTGTATACCCTCAAAGTTTAATTATTCGAACATTCAACCTTATATTAAATTAAATAAAGAACAAAAAATTCGAAATAGTTTTAAGGTATACATTTCATATTAAACAAAGAATGAAAATTCGACCTGTTTTAACGTGTACTACACAAGCTCGAAACCAGGGCAGCTCCGAATGTTTAAAAATTACGAAACCATAGACTTTCGTTGGAAAATAATACAACGAAGCGACACACCATCGCATGATCCATTCTAACACGTGGAACAGACGGCAGAATCAGCAAAAAAAAACTAGGAATGTTCGTGGGACATAAAAAACGAAGTAAATTGGTCAACCGGGCAGTAGTGTCGATGGAGCACTCGGCACGGTTAGTGTCCAGCAAGCGCTAGGCACCGGTAGTATTCGGGCGACCGGAGCCAGAGAGTGCTCAATCGCCAGTAGTTGTCCGGCACCCGTGAGTGCTCGGAGGCAGCAGCGTCCAGTAAGCACTCGGCAGTAGTGGGCAGTAAGTGTGGGAGACCCGTGAATGCTCAATGCCGGTATTATCGCCTTATTGTATTCCGACGGGACAGTAGTACCGTATAAGTGCTGGATATTTCGTATCTCGAAAAATTCTTGATAGCTTACAATACCCTCAACAGACGGTTCTTGCATTCCAGTTGGACTGAAAAGGCGTATTCATTAGCTAGGGCCTAAGTACGCGAAGGTAACTAAACATAAATACAACCCAGGGGAATATATAATAATTATAGATTGTCCACCCTTTAGTTTTCTTCCTAAGGTCTGTTCTCTTCCCCCTTCGCGTCTTAATAAACAATAATTAGTTATTACTGATATCTTGTTGTCTTAATTGTAGTACACAGTTTATTTAATACATTGTAAACTCGATATTTGGTATTATTGTTCTTCCCGATCGTTTACAGGTAGAGACTAGAAGAGAACACATTTTCGCTTATACATTCCTCCATCTTCTAAAGCAAGCCCATAGACTCAACTCTTTACAGGAACTGAAACCTGAATGTTCTTCATCCCCTTCTCCCAATTTTTCCTACCCTCTTGAAAATCCGCGACGGCGAAACCAGTCCGTTCAGACTAGTGGAACTAGTAAGCCTTGCCTTTGCTCGTAGGGATAAGTATCCCCTTAAAAAATTATAGACACATTTATTGCAGTAGTGACAGCGTTTATTTCAGGTGGTGACTGGCGTCTTTTACAATGGTGACAGCGGCGGCGACCTTTTAAAACGATGGAGAGAAGGTTCTCTTTTGTTGATTTTGTACCTTTGAACCTAGGCTTTCATTGGAGAGGCAGTTTCGCTTGTAGTATGTTGGCCACCAATTACGATAATCTAATATCTGACGTGTCTTCATCTCAAAAACAGAAAAATTTGTCCCAGCTCCAGCCATAAGAGAATAATATTGGTCTGGCTCATAAATTCTGTCATACTTTTTAATTTTTGATTTCAGCACCCCAAAATCTCGATCATTCGACAAAAATGAATGTCCTCTGATTAGAAAGTAGTTAATGGATTATTTTGGAAAATCTGCCTGTATCCGTCCATGATGGCAAAAACCGGATCATCGTATAGTTCTTATTTTATCCAGGACAGTTGTCGCTGAACAAAAATACTTCTTGTACGTTATCGGATAAAAAAATTTCAAAATAATCGGACAACATGGAGCAAACTTCATTAGCGCCTTTATTGGCTTAGCCTTCATGATAAACGTAAAATACAGATGCCTTGGTTTTAACATTTTTTTATACCGAAGCAGTTCACCCTTAGTTGACGCAAATAAAATATCTCTTGTATCGGTATACAGAGCAGAGAAAGATTTTGCATAAAATAGAACGTGAGAACAACTGCGTCCTCTCGATTTTCACAAATATCTCTCACAAAATTTATCTTGTGAAATTTCGTGGACCTTCTTTTCTAAACCGCTAGTTCAGCTTCTATGGTACGTTTGGCATGTGCTCCTAAGGACTGACTGTAGATTTTTGTAACCAATTCTTCGCACTTAATACAGGTATCAACTTCGGGTCTACCAAAACGCAAAGAAAAGTGTTCTTTAAAATATTTTTCGTAATATTTATACTGAACATCCACATTTGGATGTTTTTCTTTAAAAAGACTATGCATGGTTTTGACATCTAGGCGTGCATCAAGGTATTCCATTTTTTTACTTCCATAGTGTGTCTGTTTTCTGGAAAATCACAAAATATGATCATAAATGAGCTTATGAACTTCAGAGGATTTGGTATTCCATTTCGGGTGTTGTCCTTACCTATCAGGGGGGTCAAGAAGGAAGCTGCAAATTCTTCTTACACGACCTTCTGATATCCTATAAATCGAAGTTAAACCCTTTTTGCAGACCTTTTTGTTTTTCTTTCGATTTGGAACATGATAGGTGAATTGAAATTCTTTCAACGCTGCTCCTTCTTTTCGGGCACGCTGTCTCTGAACAGGCACGTTTTCGATATTTTGCTGCTAGAATATATCTTGCACATTTTTGGTGGAAAATTGTTTAGTGTGTCAACACAAAAAGCCAATTCTTCTTCAGAAAATTTTTGGAAACATTTTGCTCTGCATCTAAAAGGAATAGAGATTTTTAAGGGATGGTAAAATTTCTAGCACACTAGAACATAAAATAAGTTTGTAGCTAATAAATTCCGGTATAGTGATATTAAACCTCTTATTAATATTACAAAAAACATCGATTTTTATTCCCAAATTCTTAAAAATTATGTTTACAAATTCACAGCGAAAACTGCATACGTCCTTGACTCTCGTAGTTTTTGCACAGACCTTCAATTTTAGTTGTAGAGTATTTCGACAGATTATGTACGGACTGGTATCGTTTGTGCACACAACATGAGTTTATCTTAGAGGAGTCTATTCCGCACAAAAAGTTTCTGAAAATTGTAGACTTATGCACTTTTTGAAATGACCGATTCAATTAGGAAATGATGTTGGACATTATTATGTTTAATATGTATATTCTTTATTCTCTTGTCTAGAAACTATTTGTAAGGACCGATTTACAGAAGACCAATACTTAAATGTCGAAGACACAACCAATGGGGAGGAATCGAAGGAGCCCACTGATTCAGGAGTTAATTTATCCGCTCCAGACACTACAATCGTTGAAAACAACCCCGAAACTGACGACGCTAACAATAAACAATTTGATGGCAACAGCTTAACGAGCGGCCATTCCTTGTTCTTTTCACTTTCGCATAAATATTTAACAGACGAGGCCATAGAGGAGACGACTACCAGTGCTAAATCAGCGTGTAGCGCGAAAAATGTTATTTTAAGAAATATACTGAACCCCAGGGAAGAAAGCGAAAGAAACATTCCGATATTCATCCTGCCGAAGAATTGGAAGACCAACTAACGATGGTAAGTTACAATTATTAATAAATTTGTATGTACTGATTTTAAAAATCAATCAAATATTTGGAGTAAATTTTTAAATATCTATTAGAAAAAGGCTAATTTTTGGTGGAATTGTATTAGATGAGATATTCAAAACAGAGATATGTATTCAAAATCAGCCATGCTTGATAAAAAATGACATTTGCAAATTTTGACAGTTCGCAAAAATAAACAGTACAAGTACAAAGTTAGGAGTTAGTGTACAAAATTTAAGTTATTTCTATGGCAAATATTTTTGAAATTTTAAAAAGATATGAAAGGGTAATTAAGAGATAAATATTTTTAAATTCAATATAAAATGATTTGTATAATTTCTGTTTATTTTCAGGAAAAGGTGAGTGCAAATATAAACTACAGAATAAATATTTTTATGAGAGGATAAGTATGAATTTTTTTATTAAAGTATTTGAAATAAACTTAAGATAAGTTGTTGCATAGCATTTTAACGTATTTTTAATTATAAAAAGGGCTTTTTAGCATTTCTTTCGTTTCAACTACACACATTTCTACACTTTTCCACTAGTTTGTATTAAAAAATATTTTTCTGAATCTGGGGATGTTAAATAAATATATTGTAGGATTATATTTTGTGTTCCGATTAGATATTATACATTTGCTATATCGATTTAAAATTGTTTATTAATAAGTAACAAACTAATTTTTACAAGAATGAAATTTAATGTGTTGTTTGTTTTTCTGTGGCTTCATTTAATTATTTAGAGCCTATGTCTATATTTATACAACTATAATTGGCACTCTTCATGTTTGCAGCATTTTATAGGAATATTCTCACATTTTCTTCGCCATAACATTCTATTTTATATTATCTTTCGAAATGAGTCAAAATGTTGATGAAAAGTAAGTTTTTTGCACTGAATATTGTTTTATATCAATCAAAAGATGCAGATTTAAAATACCATATACCTAGTCATAGTTAAAAAAAATCTGTAGGATGTGTGATTGAAAGAATAAATATTGATATTTTACTAGAAGAGCATGTAAAAGTCTCATCAATTCAAATATTAACTTTCAGAGAGAGGAATCAGAGAAAAGAAACCATTTCAGTGCATTTAGGAAACCTCAAAAGACGAAGATGACCCATAACCGCAGCTTTCCGGACTCTACAGTCCACAGTCATCCTTCCATGAGTCCAATATTTGATCCAGAAGATAACCAATATGCTCTTGATACTGAATATTATTCAAATAATCAGAAAAACGTGAAGTGGAAGTCGCCACTGGTGTTTTCGCCTGGTATTAAGTTTTCTCCTAACAATAGTTTTTTTAATAGTTCGAAGGAAAATGTGGAGAATGATTGGTGAGTATTATAAATTATACTTTGCTTGATACTGTGCATAATTTTTTAAATGTTTTGGAGGATTTAGTGCAATAATTATTGTTAGTAACTTCTGACTATCTTTTTTTTAAAGATTCTTCGTTTCATATTGGTATTATACACTTTGTATGATTTTTTTGTGATCCTAAATATGACTATGTATGCTTCATTTGCCTTTATACCTATTTGTGCTTTTACATTTGTAGCTTGGTTAATATTTGTTATAAGACAGTTACATGATGTTGGAATAATTTTTTTGCTAAAAAGTCATTATTCATTTGTCAAAATTTGTTTAAGTTGTTTTGGCATATATGTTTTCAAAACTCTTTTTTTACGTCTGTAGAGTCTGTATTGCTTTAGTAGTTGCTATTTTTGAACTATATATTTCACATAAATTTCCTATCGAAGAATCCTGTTCATATGTTTGTAGTCTAAAATTTTCACTTATTTCCATATCTAATATTTTTTGTATCAGCCTATATATTTAATTTCAGCCATAACTACTCTTTCGATACAAACACAACGAGTTCGCCTAGAGCTCCGAGAAAACAACCTAGTAAAGTCCAAAGAACTCCGAAACTTTCAAAAAGAAACAGTTCCAAACAAGCTTCGATCAACTCCAATCAGTTTCCTTTGAGCGACAAGGACTACGAACGTTCGCAGGAGTTTAGAAAGTCCAAGGAGATAGATAATATCGAAAAATTCTCGAATATTTGTTCCACGCAGCTCTTAGACGGGTTTAAAACAAAAAGTACAACAGGTACACCAAAGATTTTACCTCATAGTGCTCCTAATAATGCTGTGGATTATTATTCGCAATTGATGCCTCTTAGTAATAGAAGAAAAGCCAGACAGACGCCAAAGAGAGAGCGAAATAGTTCACCAGAAGATGAAAACAAGGAAAATGTGGAAAACATCGACAATTTGGAAAGCGAATCGATTCCATCCGTTAAGGAAACTTCAAAATTAGATCTAAACAGTTCTAGAGCTATATTTAATTCTCAACATGAGGACGATTTAAGTGAAGACGATCTAGACGTAAGCATTCCTCATCTAAGCAACAAATATCTTCCCCATAACATTTCCAACGAATTTAATCCGCGATCACAAGAGTATATCGATTCTAAGATACGAAACAACTACCCCTTCTATCCGGACGACTTCCCTCGCAGGCATGAAGTGGTTGCACCAGATGGGTACTACGGTTACGACTCAGTGCCTTACCGAAACCCCTACAGACCGCCCAGACTGATGACCCAACCCGTACACTGCTCCCGTTACGTAGACTACGGTCAACCAGGAAAGACCTATCGAACAGGAATGCCTATGAAGAGTTATTCCCAGCAAGGTTATGCCCAGCGTGATATGATGCCTGTGTCGCTTAGTCAACAGTACGTCAGCGTGGATCCTTGCTGCGGAAATATGTACCAGGTAAGTTTTTATGCTGTACTATCTTTTATTACTTTTAAATCAACGTATACATATGTATAAATTTACTCATACAATAAAGTCGAAATTCAATAGGATATTCTGATTCATTTTCCACTGATTTATTTATTACCGTACAAATTAGTATCCCAATTAACATTGTTGACGCCAAAAATCCCTTGTAGACAAACTAGACTCACCGTGTTGCCAAATTTATTACAAGCAATGTCAAAAAAGTTTTGGAATATATTTTATTTAAGAAAAATAAAATGGTCATTAAAAGTGTTTTTTGTGAAGATTTAAATTGGGTTCAATAGAGATATAGTTTATATCGAGACTCCAAACCGAGCTTCAAAGAACACAGTATCTGTCTAGTAATCTAGTAATAAAGGTTTTCAATATTCAGTGATACTTTGTATAAAAGAAATTGATCAAATTGTTGATAATAAGGAAAATAGAAGCTAATGCTGATTTTGTTATATTGTTCTGATAGCTTTTTTCGTCCTATTTACATGCATTGTTTCTTTTTAGACTGAAATGGCTCAACCGATGGCCCCTTTGCAAAGAACTGCCAGTTCAGAAGAATACGCAGAATCTAGACCGTTTCCCCTCCAAAACATAACAAACACCAACCTCACAACTCCATCGTCAAGAAAAATATACAGAGACAACGAAGTACCCAACAGCGACCTTAACAGTTCTTTTAGAATCCAAAACACTCCTTATCCTCGTTACCACAACCAAAATATTCCTGTAGCTTACCCACAGATACATAGTCCCGAGTATTCGGGATACTTTCCTAGAATGGAACAAGCTGTACCTTACGGATATGCTCCAGAAGTTCATGCATACCATAACGTGACACCTGTGGATAAGGAATACTTAATGAATAAATACTGGGGGTCGTTTAATAGCCATGAATAATTTTCTATGTGATTGGCGAGCAAAACTTTAGTTCCTTAAAAATCTAGTATTAAGCAAATTATTGTTTTCATTAAATGATGTTAAGTTTTAAGAGTTTAAATCTTTAAGTTTCGTTCAAAGAAATTATTTATTTACGTTACCAACCTTAAGTACAAATAAATTCGTTTTGTAGGTGATTGGCGAGCAGCACTTTAGTTTAATAAAAAGTATTAAGCAAATTATTGTGTTCTTTAAATGATTAATGATAATAAAATCCGTAAACTAATTTTCGAAACCAAATTCAGATTTTTGCTTCAATCTGTGCCTTCTAAGAATTACAAAGCAAAACAGACGTTGATAAAGATGTTATATGTCTCTAATAACATCTTTATCAACGTCTGTTGACAGAGAATTTGTGGAATGAACGAAGCCTGATTGTGTTACCCAAAGGAGAAGGCTTTGACAAAATCATTTTGATATCAGAAAATTTCACCATTGAGATATCTGAAATGATAGGAAAACAAAAATAGCCTGAATTTTTTAAAGTTTTCCTTAACAAACTTACTTCTACATCACCATTTGTGTCCTTAGTTGAGATTACTTTGCCTATGTAATAAACATCTCAATATCCAACAAAACGTTAATAGAAAATGACTTAAACAATGTAGCTGGTCTTTATCATAAGAAAACTCCACATACTATAACCGATTCGTCGGGAAAAAATGATAATAGACGAACATGAAATTCGAACAACCTGGTGTAATTATATAAGTGAACTGTATAATGATGATAGACCCGAAGAACCGGAGACTTTAGTTGAAGGTGAAGGACCAGAAATACTAAAATCAGAAATACTGCGTGCTATAAAGTTAGCAAAGAACAAGAAAGCCGTTGGCCATGATAACATACCGACAGATATGTTAAAGCTTATAAATGAGGAGAACATTGGAATACTGGTCAAGCTTTTCAATGATGTTTATTCGACTGGTGATATCCCTGAAGATTGGTTAAAGTCCGAATTCATAACACTACCAAAAAAAACAACGTCCGAAAAACTGTAGCGATTATAGAATGATAAGCCTTATGAGCCACACTTTGAAAATATTTCTACGCATCATCCACAGTAGAATCAGAGATAAATGTGAAGAAGACCAGGATGAAACACAATTTGGCTTCAGAAATGGACTGGGAACTCGGGACGCCCTCTTTGCACTAAATGTATTACTGCAGAAATGTCGAGATCAAAGGAAATACGTCTTTGCTGTATTTATTGACTATGAAAAGGCCTTTGATCGAGTACAGCATCACAAATTAATTAGAATATTAAAAGATAAAGGAGTTGATAGTCAAGACATACGATTCATAGAAAAGTTATACTGGCGTCAAACAGCGACAGCTTGCATAAACGGAAAATCAACAGAAATATGTAAAATACAAAGAGGTGTCAGACAGGGTTGTATACTATCCCCACTGTTATTTAATTTATATTCAGATAGAATATTTAAAGAAGCGCTGCATAATTTGGAATGGGCGTGAAAGTTAATGGAATTCTGATAAATACAATCAGATATGCAGACGATACAGTTATTTTAAGTGATGACATGAATGGACTACAATGCCTTTTAAATGCCATTGATACAGTGGGAAGAGAGTTTGGCCTAAACATAAACTGTTCAAAAACAAAACACATGGTGTTTAGCCGTTTAGTACATCAAGATGCACGATTATATGTTGATGGTCATATAATTCAAAGAGTGTCCAGTTTTAATTATCTTGGTTGCCATATTACTGAACAACTAGATCCAGATCAAGAGATAAAATGTAGAATCGAGATAGCCCGCACGACATTTTTAAAAATGAGGTCATTCTTCTGTAATGATAACTTGCAACTTCAACTTCGAAAGCGCATGGTTAAATGCTACATTTGGTCAGTCCTCTTATACGGTGTCGAAGCATGGACATTAAAAATATCCACCATTAATAGTCTGGAGGCCTTTGAAATGTGGCTGCACAGACGTATACTAAAAATTCCATGGACGGCTATGCTGACAAATGTGGCAGTCCTTGAGAGAGCAAATGCTGCTCGCGAGCTGCTTGATAACATCAAATGTAGAAAGATGGCCTATTTTGGACACGTAGTAAGGGGAGACCGATATAATATTCTTCAACTTATTATGATGTGTAAAATCGAAGGACGCAGAGGAATTGGTAGACAGCAGGCCTCTTGGTTGAAGAATATCAGGGAGTGGACAGGAATAAAGAAAGTTGAGCAACTCTTTAGAACAGCTCGAGACAGAGACAGTTTCGCCATGTTAATCGCCAACATCATGGGGATTTGATAGGGCACGTTAAGAAGAATAAACATCTATCAAGTCTTTAGTCTCAAACTTAACAAGGACAAAATCTTCAACATTTGGATCTTCATCAAGGGGCTTAAATTTTGAAGGATCGACTTTTTCTTGCTGGTCATTTGCAGTGTCAGAAAACTCCTCCTCATTGCTGAAAGCAGAAATTTCAAATTCCTCGCTGCTCTCACTTGAAACGTAGTGTTCTATGTCTAACTGCTTTTTTTGGCACTTCGAGAACACAGCTTTGAGTCTCTTTGTCCCACGAATTTTATAAAAACTGCGTTTTTCGAGTCTCTCCTCTATTTTAGCCTTTTCAGGAATGTCAGTGACGATACTGCTTGAAACCTTGCAACGTGCCTTCCTCGCACCTTTTCTTTCGCCTGCCTTTGGAAAAGCGTTCAAAATGTAAGAACTGACAAATTTTCGAGTTGATTGGCTGTTTATAGGGCTTGGAATAGATTGAGTATTGATTTGCAGTTCATTGCCCTTGCCAACATTATGGCTATACAGCTTTAATGTAGAAATACATAAAAACGCTGATACTTTAATTAAATACTCTGACTTACATAACTATAGCACAAGAGGTGCAAATAACATCAGAACAGTTAAGTAACGTAAGGTGCTGAAAAAGTGTCGTAAATGCATATCTCAGATTGTTTCAGTATCAAACATGAAAGGAAAGACTTCTTTGCTTTTAAAACATTTATATATAAAAAATACATTTGTTAATAAAATCTTGATAAAATATTAGGATATAAATATCAGTTTTAATCACACTAAAGCTGAAATATCACTAAGTGCCTGAAAGCCTACCCTGAGAGTCCTTTCGTCATGCATCTTACTTCGTGTAACAATAATTGTCTTGGCTTATTCTAGTTTATACTTGGCTTATATAAAATAATACAGAGAAAAGTTACACTTTTCTCTGTATTATTATTTGGTTCATTGTGTTAAATATGAAGTTTTCTAAGACAGGGTCGTCGTAGCAACTATTGCACAGTTAACGAAAAACAAGTGAAATAAGAGTGAATATATAAAAGACGGCACGACTCCATCAATTATAAAGCCTAAAATAAACTTTAACGTTTAGCAATACGAATATTTTTACAAGAGGTAAGAAACATGGCAAAAAGTTTTTATTTAAATGCTATTTGAAGTTAATACTTTAAAGCACAAAATAACACATGTGTATCGTCCTGTAAATAATAAAATTAATAAGTATAAATATCTTAATTGTGTTAGTATTTCTTCATAAAATAAAAATTGTTCTATTAATAGATTTATTTTCTATTATTTAAAAACTATCATTTAAATAAAGCAAGATATAAATAACTATTGGCATACCCCTAATAACCAAATTTGAATGAAAAACTCCAGCTATTTTATTAGTAGTTTTTCTAAACATAACTAAAACATTATTACAGTGTCCAGAAAGCACAAATATATATATCAACGACAGTAAGTAATATTGTGGAATAAATAAGACTGTCTGTAGATCACACTGAAATATTATAGCTCGATGAGTGATATTGTGCAATAATATAAACTTCCTTTAGATCGCATAAAAATCTTATAGTGCTGTTTTGCAATAAATAAGACTGTACATCTCACTGAAATATAGCACAAGTGATATTGTGCAATAATATAACTTACTGCCGATCACACTGAAATATTATAGCATAATAAGCGATATTTTGCAATTATTAAGGCTATAGATTACATGGAAATATTGCATAAGTGACATTGTGCAATAAATAAGACTCTTTTGTAGGTCATACTATCAAATTACTGCACATATTGTTGATGTTATGCGATAATATGGACCATCTGTAGATAATACTGCAATAGTATTATACAGTAAGAGATATCGTACAAATAAATGATAGTTTATAAATAATTTATTGTAAAGATTGTGCAATTTTTTTTGGAAAGACTTTAATAAATATATATATTGTGCCTTCTGGGGAATATTGTATCAAGTGTAAGTATATAAACCTGTGCAATGTTGTGTCAGTTTCCTGTTGATATTTCTGATATTGATGTGATATTTCCTACTTACATAACTTAAGCAACTATTTCGTAAGCCATTTTGTCATCAACATTATTGCACAATGTTGTACACACTTAATACAATATTCTCCCGAAGACTTAAACTATACTAACGATAAGTATTGTGCAGTATTGTTTTATAGTAACTGTTACTATAAAAAAGTATTTCGACATGATCAGGGAGTCTATATTATTGCACAATATCTCTGATTCAATAATTTTTCATAATTATCCTTATATTATTGCACAAAATCCAATATATTGCAATAGTTTTTCAGTAGTGCTAACAGAGAGTCAATATTAGTGCTTGTAGTGCCGTATCCTTTCACTATTACACATAAAGCATTGCACAATACCGATTATATTGCAATAATTTTTTACAAGCCATCCATATTATTGCACAATACCAATTAATTTAATAAAGTTTTCAGTAACTTCTATATAAAGATCATATTATTGTACAATATCGCTTGTTATGCAATGTATTGATGGATATTAGTCGATCTAGGGGTAGCTTTAGGCATAATACTTTGTTTTTGAACAATAGAGAGAACTAAATTGTGTGCAGCTTCTTTTTTACAAAAAATAACATAGAAGAACATAGATCAATAATATTTTTACACAATATATATAAAAAAATAAAGTAAAGCTCAAAATATAATACTGTACAAACAAATAATAAATGCTGCATTAGTAAAAGCTGAAAATTTCTCGATTATTGTAGCGAATGCCAATCCAGGTGAACTCTATATAACTCTAGGTGTTTCATAAAGATTGTCGATTATTGGATCTGCAAATTGGATCGCATACAATGAACACATTAATAGTTTATCACAGACTATGTGTATTTTCTTCTTGGTAGATACTTATTTTTGGGTGTTCAGAAGGTTTGGCAATCGCTGTACAATAATTATATCTAAAAACATAGTAAAATTGGACACTCTATTCAACAAATCCTAATAGTGAAGTAATTAAGGAACAAAAAAACTAATATCTTTTCAGGTCATATAAATCATCACTTTGTTTATTTGAGTATTCTTTCCCGACAGCAAATTTCCTGGAAAAGACGATACAGAACAAAGATAATTAGCTTTGGTAGATTATTGAACGAATGGAAAACTAACTTAAAAACAATAAAAAAGTACGAAAATTGGGTGAAAAAAGCCGAATAAAGCAGATAATCAAATTAAACAAATCCAGGGCAATTTATGTTGATTTTATGAATGAAAAACTAACAGAGAATTATTCTTAAGATCTCAAACATGCACTAGGTTATGTTAGGTTAGGTTTCAAATAAAAAATTGGATAAAAACAAATCGATGACTGGCAAAACTGTTGGTAATCGAATTAAACGAAACTAAATACATTGTACAATGAAACATTTACAGCAAATGTAACAGTATTGTTTATTTCAATGTTCTTCAACGAAAAATCTATGATATAAGATGTTCTCAACTGTGCACATAAAGAAATCATCTGAGTTAAAGTAAATTTCTCGTAAAAAATGATACACAAAAAATAAAATTAGCTGGAGCAGAATTAATTAACGAATATCCATGCACAAAAGTGTAAAATATGTAAGATGCAATCTTTAAAACACAACAAAAAGAATCATATTCTGATTTGAGGCTAAATAAATCTGAAGTACAGTAGTACAATACTATAAGTATACAAAAAAGTCAGAATAGTATGGCTATTTCGCTGATAACTTTAAAGTCCTGGTACTTGAAAAATCACTTAAAATCAATAAAAAAATAAAAAACTGGGTGAAATAGATTGCTGACGGAATAAAGAGGTAGATAATCAAATTAAACAAATACAGGACCACTCATGTTGATTTTATGAACGATAAATCCTCAGAAAATTAATGCCCGAGACCACAAACATGAAATAGGTTATGTTAGGTTAGGTTCCAAATACAAAATTACATAAAAATAAATTGACAGTTACTATTGTCCAGTATTACTCCACTATCCTAATATTTATGCTTATTTAAAAACCAACAACATCTACAACTTGTCGTTTTAGCTATCTAAAGCTGGCAATAAAGTAGTTTTTATTCTAATACAGAGTTTTCACCTATCACAGCATCTTTTATCAATGGTACTATCTGCTTCCTGGTCAATTCTCGATTTCCCTGGTTCAGTAAAACTACATTTTTAAATTCCGTTTTGAGTTCAGTAAATTCAAAATCATAACCTTTGTATTGATTGCTGTTTAGAAGCATGTGCACAATTTTCTCTTTTAGCTGCTCACCTTCCTTCGTGTAGAAAACCCCTATTTCTGAGTTTTCAGCGTTTGCACCCTTTAAAACAACACAAACTGCCTTTGACTCAGTTGCAAAACGTTCTAACGCTTTATAACCATTTTCCAGACCATCTAGTTTTAGAAAATCTTGAACGCTTATTGGTAATGAGGGTACGGGTACTCCCTCTATGATTTTGGTGTCTTTTTGAAGGATTTGAATTGGTTTTAGGTTCGATACATCCGAACGCAGGCGTTTTTATCTTTTTAAAAAGATCAACTCTCCTATCTTTGTCAAAGCCGTATTTGTCTTCTAGGAATTCTGCTATCAGGAAGTCCATATATTTTGCTTTTTTCTTGTTTGGATTTAGTGCCTTGCAATCACACACTATTGTGGCTAAAACAGTGAAAGAAGTAATGAATATAATGCAACAAGAGGGTTAAAAATAATATGTTATATAAGTATATTGGTGGGGTCAAAGGATCCAAATTTATCGATGGTTTCAAAGTATCCTTCTTAAAGAAGTTAATATGATAATGGAAATCATTCTTAGATTTGTCGGCTATGTTTACCCTATAACTTACCATATAACATATAAGCCAATCCTGTACATAGATCATAGTCTCTTACGGTAAATATCGTATCAGCCACGAGAGTGCAACAAGATCCAACATTATCGATCCTAACTTTCACTCTAGAATAATCCCAACAACAATGCGGATCTTTGGGTCTGTGATCTAAAACTTGTATCACTGCCTCCTCCAATATTTTGTCTTTTTCTGTTAAAACATGATGGTCTACCAGAGTGGCAGTCACCTTTTTGGTTTTTACTAGATCTTCAAAGTTTATCTGGTCTCTAAAATCAGAAGAAAATTTATACTTTTGATCTAAATCTAGTTCAAGATAATATTCTAAAATCTCATACACTCTTTATATACTTTACAAATTATTATTTGAGTAGCTCCATTTAAGCGATTTGATTTAGATTTGACTAATGTGCTCTCGAAATATTAAATGTTTAATAAAATTCAGAAAATTATAAATTTTAAAATTAAGCTTGTTTTTAAACAAAGCAAAAAATGTTAAGATACTGCACTAGTACTATTAACGTTGTGAATGTTGTGTATATCCTATGTAAAATTTGCAACTTTATGGCCAGTTACAACATTAATACAGAGTAAAATGTCATGATTTATGACAATATTTAATAAATATATTATTTAAATTTTAAGATCATTTAATATTTAATTATAATTACCTAGAATACTTACCTATAAACTAAAACATCTAAAGGTAATTCAATTTCGTTATACAAATAGCAAACGTCATTACGGTATAGAAAGCCTTCTTTGGAAACATTCTGTACAGGTACTACTAATGCATCGGCAGGTATAAAATCTGGTCTGAAGGTATTATAATAGTTTGCTATAAGAACTGCAGACACGCTGGAATCAATGTCACATGATTCGTTGCCTAATACTATGTGGATGTTTTGTACATTTTCCAAATTTGCCTGAATCATATAAAAGAATATAGATTTATCAATTAAATTTATAAATATTACATATAACTAGTGGAAAACTCTAATATATCTTCAATGAAACAAACTATAGCTCAGAAAAAGAATATATACGCATATGCGTCTATAATATTTGGCTTAGCGATACAAAAACAATATATAAACAATAGCCCGAATAGGATGGAAAGTTTCAGATTGTTTCCAGGTCGGAAAAGTAGTTTTTAAGTAACTGTAAACGAAATTACAACCAGCAAGATTTGTAATTTCTTCGACACCATTAGATATGAACGAATTAAGTTAAATAATGGATTCAATTCATTTTAGCTAACGGATACAGCATATACATGCTATCAAAGAATATAGTATGCGTCTATATTCTTTGATGCAATGTTAATCCATTAGCGCTCTAGTCAGTGGCAACCAAGGTTGCCACTGACAACCTTTTGACAGACTGTGATTTTTTTTACATATTTTAGTAAATGTATCTTTGTAATAAAATCTGTAAAAAAATTTCAACTTTCAAACTTTTTTAGTTCTGAGCACTAATGGGTTAAGGGAGTTGCGCCAAATATAGGCAACTTACAATTCACTTGCAGTGTTGTCCGATTTTTAATATGGTTTTAATGTCCCCATAAAATTTACATTGAAATTTAGAAACAATTTTCAAACTAAGGGAGATTAAATACATCACTTAAAATTAAATCATAATACGTTTATTGAATTTTTAAAAAAATAATCTAATAGTAAATTAAAGTGCATTTGCCAAATCTCTCTTATCTTATGCCTATTGTAATATTCAAATTTAAAAAATGACATTGAATAACAAGTATAACATTGAATAAAAAACAACATTATTCAATGAAAAATAAGTACATACAATGTATGTATACAACTGTTAGACACCTTTCAATTAAAAGAATGTATTGCTTTATATTGAGGTATTGTTTAATAAGTCATCATTTATTGAAAATCGGGCAACACTGTACATTTGATCTTAAATTAAAATAAAGAAAGAACTCTGTAATTAAACCGTTGATTGAGTTAAAGTTATGATGACATATTACCCGAAATTTCTAAAATTTCCTTGCTGAATTTCCCAAAAGAAAAGGTTCTGTTGGATATTTATTGAGGAATATTTACATTCGAAAAGATAGAATTATACTCTGATTTTAAGATTACTATCACAGATCATTAGTGGTCTGTGATTACTATAAGATAAGGTACTTCTTATCATAAAAAGGAAGAGGATGAAAAGATACAGAAAACTGTTTATATATAAAAATATTTATTCTTACCAAAGAATCTTTAACAAATTGTAGATATTGTATCACACACTCCATTTTTATCTACTTATTTTTAGAATAACTCAAATACAAAAAATTAATTTGAAATTAATTAGGTTAATAAAAAACTTTTGTTTTTTAATTCTTCTTTTTGTGATGACTTTTACTATATGGCTATTCGTCCATGAGATATAATCCAGTATTTTATTTTTTACTGTATATTTATCAATAGTGCCTTAATAATTTGGATTAAATCACAACATTCACAATCACAAGAGACAGCAGTTTAAATATATTTCTTAAAGTTATCATAAATACATGATACAAGACAACAGAGATTATAACAATATTTTTAGTTATTCAGGACAGCTTTAAGGCATCTATAATAACTGGAATGATCTGCTTCCTCGATAAAGTCAAGTTCCCTTGCCTAAAACACTTAACACTTTCACAACTAACATCAACCTCTTTGAATTCAAAATCATAACCTTTAAATTGTTGGCAGTTGCATAGTAAATTTAAAACTCTGTTTCTAATTGGGTCATCTTCATTCCTAGTAAAAAGAGCTACATCCCTTCTTATCTCATTTGAACAATCAATTCCTACTAAAATTAGAAGTGGAGTATCTCTTTCTTCTGCAAATTTCCTTACAGCTTCATAGGATCCTTGAATTTTCAGAAAATCTTCAACTAACATGGGCAGACCTGGTACTGGAATGTGTTCTACCATCTTCAGGTCTTTTACTAGGATTTGTTTGGGGCTTAAAGTTGATATGTCATTATGAGCATTCCATATTCTGTCATAAACTGCTATTCTAGGTTCAGTGAAGTTGAACTTCTGTTCAAGCTTTTTAACTATCTGAAAATCTAGTTCTTTTGTTCTTTTAGTGTCTGCACTTAAAGCCTGTGTGTCAAATAGTATAGCAGCTAAAACAATACATATTTATAACAGACTACTTCAGTTAAACAAATGTACCTACCATATAGTAAATATCCCAATTCCTTAAACAAAACTTCTTCAAACCCACTAAATATAGAATTAGCTATCAGAGTTGCACATGATCCAACTCCTTCTATGTTTATTTCAACTTCTTTTGTATCGAAGTCAAAGGCAGCATCTCTAGGTCTATGATCATAAATTTGAATCACTGTTTTTTCCAAAATTTTATAACTTTTAGGTACAACATGGTGATCTACAAGAGTAGTAGTCACTTTTTTTGATTTCACTAAATGATCAAAATCTATCTGGTCCCTATAACAAAAACAAAAATTATCCCAATCAACTCCTTTTTCGAAACCTAGATTTAAATTAGGTAAAAATATATAGTGTTAACAACTTTTATGTCCTGTTGGTATGTACAATAGGTGAAACAGTTATGAGTTTCATTACTGACAGATATTTTATAGTTTTTAAACGCTACATACTGGTATTTGTACTGACCTATACACTAAATAGTCCAAAGGCAGCTGGATTTGTCTATACAAAAAACAGTTATCAGTCCTAAATAAAAAATTTTCAGCTGAAACATTTTGTACAGCAACTACCAGTGCTTCTTTGGAAATATGTTTGGGTCTACTTATATGTAAAAAATATGCTAAAGCTGTAGCTGAAACACTGGAGTCTATATCACAGGATTCATTTCCAAGTACAATGTGGACCTCCTCAAAGCTGTCTAGATTCTCCTGTTAATCAAGAAAAGCAACAAAGATTAAAAGGAAGTTCTTAAAAATTTATTTAAGTGTACACACCAAAGATTTTTTCACAAACTGAAGATATTCAATGAAATTTTCCATAATGCTTTTTATAGGTTCTTACAAGTTCCAAAAATATTTTCTTTTCACATTCACATTGATTATAAATATATTCTAAATTCGAATTTAAACAGCACTGGATAAACAATAATTAGTATACCATAACATGTTCTGCTATTACAGATTACAGATGCAAAATGCAAAGAACATGCAATGAAGTCAATGGATTTTCCAATGCAATTCTAGTTTTAATATAAATCAAACTAACAGGTCATAAAGTAAATGTAAAATTAATTTATAGTAGTATGTAGGTTGCTTTTTAAGGTATTTGGAATTTTATAAAAATATAAATTTGAATTTTTAATTGGAATTTATTGATTTGAAAGGCAAGGCTATGCGCTATATAAATTCAGCTGATAAATTTACACATTCCAAAGTAATCTTGACATTGACAAAGCAAAATGTCAGTTTATTTTATGTCTTTTCTTCTTGATTCTTTTACACAGTATATATCACAAAAGTAGTGTAAGTGGATTACAAAAGATCGAGACAGTAAATTGCATGGGTCCAACCGTTTGCCTGGCAATGGCGCTACTAGTATAAAATAAAAACATTTATTGCCCTAATAATATATACATGTCAACTTAAGATATTTTAGCCTTCTTTCTTCCTGATGTTCCGCTTTTGCACCATCTTCTTCTGATTTGATCTCCTTTCGGCATCCTGGACTTCTCTGGTGGTTTCCTCGTCTTTTTCTGTAGGTACTTTTTATGGCAATGGCGCTACTAGTCACGATAGGTTGACGTTGAAATATGACGTAGCATGAGGCGTATGACGTTGATGTAAGTGCTGTTGCCATCGTTTCACTACTTCTACATATTTACCCAAATAATGATTATAACTATACTATATTTTCCAAAAAACAAAGATTGTAGCAAATTTTATTAAAATCACAACTTAATTTACAACTTATTTTTAAATAATTTTTAGTATCCACCGAAAAAAATAAAAATGTGTTTGTGACAACATTGTAATCCATGCCTTTGCAAGTTGCAAATGGTATTATAAAAACATTGCATTCCAAATTTTAAAAATAGGAGATAAAAACAGTATACATAATTTTTTATATATTTAATAATCATTGCGGTTGAGTTTAAAGAAAGTACAAGCGTATTATAGCCGCAAATATTCCAAATCGAAAAATGAAATGAATATTTTTGTGTAAGGCTTCAAGTTAGTTAAAATTGGAGGAAGGGTTATTAAACATTCAGAAGATTAGGAGTTACCAGGTAAGAAACAAAGAATAAGTTACCAGATTTTCATGGATCTAGTTCTGAGCAATAGTGTAGAAGTGTCTGAAGAGGAAAATCACAGAAATGCTAGAGTTTACACTTTATTATCTGCCAGATAGTCCTTTAAGGGGAGTATTGTAGAAAGTATGGAGCTGCTAACAAATCAGTACCACAGTATATTGCTTAATGTGCCAGTACTAATGAATGTATATCAATAAGAAGATTTTCAACATGATGGGGAGATTAAATGAAGATTCTTGGAAAAACCCCTACATGAAGTTGTCCATCTGGTACAGGATCGAAGCCAATGGAGACAACAACCTAACAATAATAATAAAACAAGTGTCAGGATGTCTGTGTTTTATTTTGTTATTTTCAGGACTTTTGTCAATGTAATGGTCATAAAATAATAAATAAAAACTTTCCTGTACTATAAATATGCTCTCTGTGTGTGATATTATGTTATACATTTATATATAAAAATTCCTAAGTGTATACCATATTTTTGGGCAGAGGTTATATATTTTTTGGCATAGTTTTGGGATTTTCCGCTTAAAATTCAAAATCAACATTTTAAATTTGCTGCTAAATAAAATTAGTTTCGGCCCGTCCGCATTTGGCGCTAGAAACTCTCCCAAATCTTTATAATGAACTTACCTTACTAGAAGGCTATGTACTGTGTTCTTGTATAATCTGTGGTTATAGTGGCGGCGGTTGTATTTTAACCTTATTTTTAGGAAGTGAAGACTATTGTGTATTATTTTGAAATTAATGAACAACTGATAAAATGGACGATGGTAATATTTTCAATATTATTTTTAAATGAGTTATACAGTATTTTGTTTATTATTTCAGTACTACTTCCAAATAAAACCGAAGATCTATGGAACCCCTACAAAGAACTTAAAAACATTGTGTGGAATTTCTTGAATGAAACAACGGATGAATTCAATGTAGGCGAATTTGAAAGTATTCTAAGGAGGCACAAACAAAACTTCTTTTTACTGCTCCAAAATCCGGTAATAAATATTTATGTTTATGTATAGAATTTAATTTTTAATTAACAAAACTTACACAACAATTCATCATTGGAGGTAACGAGTTTGGATTTATGTTCGATAATGGTGTAATTAGAATACTGTAAATATTATTTAATGTGTTTTCAGCCTAAAAATGCAAAAGCTAGGGAAGAACTTAAGAAGGGTATGGTAGATGGAATAAATGTAAGAGGCATTGGTCATCAAGTAATATCTAACGAACTCTACCAAGAAGCCATAATTCTGTCTGATATGTTTTTACTTAATGAATTAGTGGCCTTAGATTTGCTGTGCACAGCCCAGATGCAGATGCCATATTATCCAGGTCTACCTAGAGGCTTAGTTGCAGTTCTTTTATATTATGATGGTAGAAAGGCACTAGTTACAACACTTTTATACTTGGTGCAGGCTAGAAATGGAGTGCAATGGAATGTTACTTGCAATCCTGATCTTGCCAGGTATATTACAGACTACACAGGTAAGTGGTGAAGTAGTTCTTCAAAATGGGAACTGTCTTTCAGTAATTTATTCATAGATAAATTCTTTTAGACTTTTTTTTATTCTTAATTGTGATTTTATATTCTTTTTGGTAGATGAGTTGATGGAGGGTGGCCTGTTTACCAGAATCTTTGAATTACTCAGGACCCTTGACCTCACAAAAGAAATAGAACTCCTTCAAGCAAATCTAGCCCTAGGAGGTTCAAAACACCGCCGCCAAGTTGTGGATATGTTCAATGTCATAAGACAGGTTTTATCTGATATAGTTTTCACATGGTCAGCTCAGTGTGGATTGCCCAAAAATGCCACAGTATCTCTGATCAATTATCTAAGAGAAACTAAATTAGAGGATGAAGCTTCTGGTAAAATCAATGATGTAAATTTGTACCTTGAAATGGCTTTTTTAGCTGCATTGGATATAAGTGTATTGCATACTAGAGAGGATGGGGAAAAGGCTGTTCAGTCATTGCCTATATTTGATGACCCAACTTATGTTCAGACAATTGTTAACGAGTTTACTCTATCGAAGTCTAAATGGTTAAGTGAAGGTAAATTATTAATAATATTTTAATTTTTTTATTAACTATCTTACATCTATCTCAAAATAGATCTGCCTTAGTCTAAATGTCTTTTATTTTTTTCTAGGTTTGCAAGCTTTATCAACCTTTGGAGTAGCAGTTTGCATCAGTGCCTTAAGGGATACCCCACAAAGTTTCCGTTTCCAAGAAGCCATTCTTAAAGAAGAAACTTTGGTAGATTCAGCTATAGAGATGAATGTGTTTGATTTCCTGCTCAACATATTTTTGGAAAACAAAAGTTTGTACAAGGAACACTTTTTATACAAAAGGATGCACAACTTGATTACAGATTTTATATTTTTTATGTATCCTAAAATAAAAGATTTAAGAATGAGAGCAGATGAGATTGCTAGGACAATGCAGGTGTATATACGAGAAGGTTTGGAAGTCCCCTCCAACTTACCCAGATATTTTGAAATGATGTTGTTGGCTATGGGCAAATTTTATAGAAATGATGAGTTGAAAACTGGATTTGTGGCGGATTATTGGAGTCCTCTAGAGATGAATGCCAGTCAAATGACCTCAGAGAGATCTGTAGCAAGGTCAATGTGTCTTTTTAAATTCATCAAGCTAGCAGGTGACATTTTGCCTTCTACATTGTTTGTTCCTTATATAATGATGTTGAGTGGACTGGCTTCTTCTCAAAACACAGCGAGGCATTGCTTCAACATGCTGAAACAAGTTGGGTCACATGTTTCAACAAACCTGTCCTGGGACCACTTCTTCATGTCGTTTTCTCAATATTATAGTAACTTGAGACAGGAAGTCCCCGCACAAGCTGATACTGTGTATATGAGTAGAGCAACTTTCCACAAGGTAAGTGATATATTCGTTTATATACTAGGGTAATTGGAACCGTTTGTTTCGGGATTGTTCTATAATTGTCAATAGAAATTCATGGCAATATGTTTTTCCTGTATATTTCAAGGACGCCTAAAACTTCATGCAATTTCTCGACAAATAAATGCAGTTTGATATTTAAATTGCCCTTTTATTTGTCTTCCAAATAGATATTAATAACAGATTCCACAATTTAATTGTATTTACACTGTTTTTCTGTATTTAGAAGTAATCACAAGACAGGGGGCATAAAGCCCTTAATACCCAGCGAAAGAATGCCGGACTAACGGCTTGTTTAGAAGTTCATATATAAGCGGTGAAGCAGAAATAGTTGAAAGATGGAAAAAATATTCTGATGAATTACTAAATGGCAACAATAAGTCAAACCAAACAGAATGTGGAAGCAGAAGCAAGAATCGAACCCTTACAAGACATAGAAGATAATTCATCCAGCAAAGAACAAATCGAGGAAATGAAACAGCAGAGATGATGAAATATGGTGGAAAACTGCTAAATGATTGGATATACAAGATCATAAAGGAGATATGAATAAAAGAACGAATACCAGAAGAGTGGAAGGCAGCAATTATTTGCCCATTACACAAAAAAGGAGACAAAACAGTGTGCAGTAATTACAGAGGAGTAGTGTTACTAAATACTGTATATAAAATCCTATCAAAATCCATAAAAGATAAGCTAGAAAAAGAAGTTGAAAATATAATAGCCAAATATTATTGAGGATTTAGACGAGGGAGAAGCACAATGGACCAAGTATTCGTAATCAGAGAATTACAAGCAGAAAGCTATGAACACAACTTACCAACGATGGTGCTATTCATCGACTTCCAGCAAGCATACAATAGAATAAAAAGGAAGGAATTCAAAGAGACCATTGAGGAAACGGCAGTTAGCAGAAAGTTGTTTAACACGATACATCTTATTTTAGAGAATACAAAAAACAAAGTCAAAGAAAACCTTCATTGGACAAATTGATAGTAAACGAAGGATTAAGGCAGGCGATCCTTTGTCATCATTACTCTTCAA